AGAAAACGCTTATCTCCCTTCTTGTCCTGCCAGTCTGTGAGGATCTGAGGAGGAGCACGCCACAATGAGGGCAAGGTGGTAAGATCACAAAGTAGTGCATACCTTTTATTTATTTATTTTTTGCCCCCCAAATATTAAATCAGTAAATACAAATACATACCATTTATAATGCAATTCAGAGCAACAAGCTGATTCAGAAGTAATCTAAACAAAACTAGCATAGAGACTCACCATTCATCAGACAACTGGAGTGATGAATTTGAATTAATATGAGTTACAACAATATTTAATTTAGCTTTTGAATCAATAACGTATTTCTGAATTTTAATTCGATTAAAGCATATTCAAGTGTTAGAAGGGTCTAGTCAAAGTCCAGAGCTAAAACTGGTTGAGCATCTACGACAAACTTGAAAATGGATTTTCACCAGACTTGACCAAGCTTGAGCTTATTATAGAAAGAATAATGAGATATGGAGAGGTGATACAAGCATAATCCAAAACACTCGTAGTTGAAATAACAGGGGAAAGTGGAGGATGGAGGATTACTCAAGAGATTCTCAATAAAAATACACATCACACTTTTCAGACCAATTAATTTTATTTATTTATTTTACATTAAAGTCTATTTAGCATCTTCCTTTCAGGTTTAAAATATGTGCTACTTAGTAAAAATCCCAATAAAATTGCATTAAAGTTTAGAAATAATGTGATTTAAAAAAAAGTACGCAAAAATGTTTAAGAAGTGTGGATAAAGTGTCATGGACCTCCACGTACCTGTCTCTGCTCCTCCAGGGCCCGCAGGCGGCGGCTGGCTGAGGACAGCAGGGTCTCCAGCTCCAGCTGCAGGGTGTCCAGCTCCTCAATACCGATGCCATCATCCTCTGAGCGGCCCAACACCGCAGTGTAGCGGGGGCACAGCTTGACATGCTCCACGGGTTTGAAGTCGTAGTATTTAAGCGGGGGACAGTCCTTAAGCTCGCTCATGATGCTGTCCGGCGGTGGGGTGGGGAGTCTGTCAGCGGCTGTTCACACGAGCAGCGTGGTTATTTCTACATCATCCGTCCCACGGACACACACTAACACAGCTCAGCGCCGCGTTTCACATCTCAAACCCAAAGCACGTACAAACGGGGCTGCCTGCTTCACACGGCCGCCAAATCACTGCGTCGTTTTCACGAAAGCTGCTTCGGTGTTCATATTACGTACACAAATTATATATACAAAAACGTTTTTATAACATGTTCTTATGTGTTCGGGGCGTATACACACCTAATTAAATGTTTTAAGAGTAGCTATATTTACCGTCAGTGAACGGCGTCCATGATGGGAAAAACCATTGTATTGAGAGGGGTGTCTGCAACGTATATAAACAACGTCATAACCTCATATAAAGCTAAAACTCGTTTAAAAATAAAATTAAATATGCTATAGTACGTGTAACATAGTTAATAATTCAATGTAGCGTCAAATATGTGGGTAAAATTATTAAGTTTCGATCCCATCTACTTGAAATGCTAAGGTGGTATCTTCAGTGCAGACCATTTTCCTTCCATGGTGTAACTGCGTCAGTACTTTCCTACTAATAATTTAATTATTACCTTTCTAACTACATGATATGTAGTGAAATAATTATTTTGCTCGGAAACCAGCCTAAAATCGTTGAAATTATCCCAAAACAAACCGTTAAACGCAACGTCTTCTCCCATAAAATAATGGAATGGACTCGTCGGGGTGTATGCTCGTTTTGTTTAAAGTTTCTTGTGACCTGGGCGGTGGCTTGAACTACGTTTATGTTTTTTTCTGTGACGTGAAGACATCCGCCCCCTCAAAAAAGGAGTTAACAGAAAACGAGCGCACTTTAGCTGTACTCTACTATGTAGGATTTACGGAAGAGTCGTCCCAGGCGTGGCTGAGGAACTTCCTTCTTGTACAGATCAAAAATGGTAAGTCTCCTACTCTTCATGTACCTTTATATTTAAATATTTAGCTTTTTAATTCGGCTGATTGCGAGTTCGTTCAATGCGATTTTAGCTAACTAGCTAGCTTAAGTGGCCGTCTTGCGGCCGGGCTGCAGTAGAAATCAGAGCACGGACATCCTTGATTAAACGATATGTAGAAACTAGAGAGATTTAGCTGAGCTGTTTTTTCTGCTCGGGCCTCTCGTTACGGATTTATTTTCTCAACACCTAGACATTTGGAGGCAAATATTTTTTTTTTCTCGATGCTGTCGAGGCTTTGCTTGAAGAATAACGACAAGCTGCCGTACACCTGAAGGCATCTCGTCCACTACTCCTAAAGACACCAATCACTTCCTTCCTAAATCCACACACAGCTGAATTATAGCTCAATACCTTTGTGTGTGCTTGTATAATAATTCATTTGTTAAATGAAACCTTAATGTGACTACAAAACATAATCGGGTGAAATGTATGTCGAACCTGACCTCAGAGGTCAAGCTCTTTGAGCTGATAGGTTCACTTTAGTTCCTGCTCTGATCTTTATCGCACAACAACACAGCAGGCAATGATATTTCCTCCCTTTTTCTGCTCAGACGGCGACTCTGCGCCCCTACCTGAACGCTGTGAGGGCCACCCTGCAGGCAGCCCTCTGCCTGGAGAACTTCTCCTCTCAGGTGGTGGAGCGTCACAACAAGCCCGAGGTGGAGGTCAGGTATGTTTATTGGCACTGGCTCATTTGGAGACCTAGTGGCTGTCAAGAATTTGTTTTTATTTTTATTCCATCCCTCAAGCCTCTTGTATTCTGCAGCCGTCACACATGTACGGACTTGATCGGACTTGTATAAGAAAGGGTGGGGGAGGAAAGAGAAAAAATAGCACAGGCTCGAGCAAGGGCTTTTGAATTTGTGCTGGAAGGGGGCTTGCCGCAGCTTGCTTTGCCATCAGCAGCTATCTTGCAAAGAATGAACGACCCCGAAGGCTGAAAGATGCGCTTTCCGTTGACATGGTTACAGGAGCAGTAAGGAGCTGCTTCTCCAGCCGGTGGTGATCAGCCGCAACGACAAGGAGAAGGTTCTCATCGAGGGGTCCATCAACTCCGTCAGAGTCAGCATTGCCGTCAAGCAGGTCATTTTAACACAATTTGATGTTGTTGTTGTTTCTTAAACACCACAAACCTTTTCGAATCTGAAAGCAATCCCACTCAACTGCAGGCTGATGAAATCGAGAAGATTCTTTGCCACAAATTCATGCGGTTCATGATGATGAGAGCTGAGAACTTCTTCATTCTGAGGAGGAAACCAGTCGAGGTAAGAGATCAGGTTTTTGTTTTATGTAGTTAATGACAGCAAAGGGTACAATCATCCATATGCAAACAGAAGACAATAAATTACCGTGTCAACTTATTTGAATTGACATAAATCGTGTCCCTCTACAGAAGCTGGTGTGAGATAAGCGGAAGGTGGCGAACGGATGGACTTATTATTATTTTTTTGTTTCTTACTAAATCATTTGCATCTTCTGTCATATCTCCACAGGGGTACGATATTAGTTTCTTGATCACCAACTTCCACACGGAGCAGATGTACAAACACAAGCTGGTGGACTTCGTCATTCACTTCATGGAGGAGATCGACAAGGAGATCAGCGAGATGAAGCTGTCCGTCAACGCCAGGGCCCGTATCGTCGCTGAGGAATTCCTCAAGAACGTACGTTTATTTATTTTTTATCCACTTGAATATTGTTTGACATAATGACTGAGGCTAATTATCCGCTTCCTTTCCACAGTTCTGATGCTGGCGATGTCTTTGGGGTCTCTCTAAGGTGCCAATCAACTCACGGAGAACTTAGGGAGTAAACAGCCAATCAGCGAGGAGATGAGATCGTTGTGACCAATCCGACACTCTTTTTGTGTCCATCCTGTAATATTTCCCCTGTATTCATGGATATCAATTCCTGTATATAATGAAATATTTGCCAGTTTCATTTTCAGCCTCTCTGAACAAATCCCCAAACAAAGGCGGGTCCTTAAAGTATTAATCAAGTTGATAGCCATGAATACGGTGGAGCGCTGAGAATTTATTGTTGCAGATAAAAAAAAAAAGAAGATAAATGACCAGGGTTTTTTTTTTGTTTTTTGTATCGTTTAACGGAGTCCTGTATGTTCTGTCGCTGTTGCTTCAAAAAATTGTCTCCAAAGTTTTGAACACAAAAACGTCTAAGGGAAGCGATACACGCGGCATTAAATCACAGAGCGGGAAGCTGCTGTAAAGTTGCCATGGTAACCAGTGTAAGAAAATAATGAGAGAGAAATAAAAGTCACTTGTTTGTACTTGTGTGTTTGGAGTCAGAAAAGCGCCATACATGGTTTGGTGCTGCTGCTGCACCTATAAACACTTTTTGAGGAAGTGGTTTGTTGAAGGCGGTGAGGTCATGTCAGCGAGGAAGGGGAAGTGCAGCGGACGGCATGTTAGCATGTCACTTCAGGGAGATAAGGTCATTTGTTTTGAAAGTGGGGTTGAGCAGACTACTCCAAAATTGTCAATGTCTTACTTGCAGCAAATAGCCATCCTGATGAAAACTGAGCAAACTGCTTTTCTTTTATATCTCACTTTCAGTTAAGACAATAACTTCACATTGGCACCGCTTTCTAAATAAAACAATAGCTGTCGCTCCATGATGTAAACCTCTACTAAAACGTTCACTTCCTTTTGTTTAATTCTACAACTAGTGCAGGCAGTAAAAACAGATTAACATTTGACACTTTAATACACAAAACATTATTTTTGGCACAATAAAATATATCGATTTTCGAAAAAATACCACCTTCCTACACCAGAAAATGATAATGACAAAGTAATTGGTTTATGACGATACTTTGTTAGCTTCACCCACTGGTGAGAGACTGCCTAACTTCCTGTTAAAAGTAATGAATCATGTCAAGTATATTTCACATATATAAGGTATTACCTTTTTTTTTGAGCAGATGAGAGGCTAATGCTGTTGGAAAAAGTAAAGCATTCAGAAAACACAAAACAAAAATACTGAGTGGTTTAGAAAAATAACATCTTTATTGCAGTACAGTTGGAACATACATTTTCAAGTTGAGATCAACACCACCAATATTTTTGGCTAATGATCCTTTTTGCATTCCTATTGCTGAAATGTGTTGCTTCACAATAATAATTTACAGGTGGGCTTACCCCATCACGTACAGTAACTAGGAGGGGAGGTGGGAACTATTCCCACCCAATTCTAGCAACAGTTTACCATAGTTTTACTGCTCTACTCCGTTCACTCCTGTTAGCACAGACAGTTATCGTAAAGAGATTTGTTTTCATATCAGAGCAGGTTCAAAACCTACAGAATTGCACATGATCACTGAAGCCACCTTCATGTGAAATTATGATTGCACAAAGTCAAACATGCAGCATGATTATTTCGCAAAAAACACATGGTTAACACTTGAAAACACGCTACAGTAACTTCCCAGTGTCAAGTCTGCCGCCGCACAACACCAACACGCTGAAAACGGCAAATTTACTGACCACCGTGAGCCGAGTGTTTACGATATGAACATCCGGGTCATAAAGGTCAAACGTTCCTCCTTAAATTCGAACAGGACATACAAAGGACACAGGAAGAGCTACGGGTTGTGGCAGTGTGGCATGTTGTCCACCCAATCAATGGGTCACCAGTGACTGGAAATGTGAGAAACGCACAAGACTGGTAGGCGTGGAGGGGGCAGGGAGTTCACTGGGGGGGGAAGAGGATTCAACTTCAGTATCATCCGATTCCAGCCCAGGCATCAGAGGTGAACAGGGACGGTCTGCAGGGCGTCTTGAGTGGTACGATGGATGTCAACGTTCTGGAAGGAGGAATGAGGCGGGGTCAGATGGGCTTTCATATCCAACACTTTGTCAGCCAATGAAATCATTCATGTCTGTTGAGTTAGTTTGGTGCAACGGAGGACAAAATCCAGAGCAGTTTGACACCTTCAATTGTTTTTATTTTTTAAATACGCCACACAATTGGAAATGGGATTTTTTTATTTTTTTTTACAAGACAAAAGAAGAAAAGTCTTTGCTGCCATTAAAGTAATCAAAGCTCCCGTTAAAATATTTACATGTTGAAGCTAAATGCCGAGCATAATTAATTAGATGCTCCTCTTTGAGCAGACGGGAGTCTGTTCTGGACACAGAGAGGATTCTGTTCAGGCCCAGAGACAGCCGCTCTGTCATCCAAGCCCAGAGGAAGCTCTGCATATGAATGACCGGGAAACATCCGAGTCCTCAGAGGGAAGCAGTACTTGGTCTGGGGAGTCCGTCAAGTATATGGCAATTTTTTTTATTTATCTCAAAGTAGCCTTTTTAGAAATCTGGTTTAAAAATGTAATATAATAATCTACCTCTAATTTTATCAATAACCCCAGGCAGACCTGGTCAAAATGTCATTATATGCATGAACTGAAGCATGTTTTGAGCATTGTCAGAAAAGTTTTTTTTTTGTTTTTTTAAGGCAAAACTAAACAATTACTCAAAATATAAATTAGGATGATGCTAAATATTTACAACCATATTTAATAAACTCAACACCGTGAGTGAAAAGCTTTTTATAAAAGTTCTGCAGCTTGACATAAAGAAGGTGCTGCTGTATAAAAAACACTTATAAGTGTATTTTGCCCCCAACTTATTATTTGCCTTTAAATAAAGACAAAATGGCTTTTGTCTTAAAATGAGAAAGTAAAATACAAAAGAAAATGGCGGCTAATGTAGCTCCTTGGGGAACACCAGTGGATATTGTGAGTTGAGCTTTCAGATAATTTTTCTACATCAGTTCTGACCTCTAGACCAAATCATAAAACAGGTCTAAAACTAGTACACACACAAAAAAAACAGGTGTCATTTTTTTGTCTAGTGATTGTTTGATTTATGTATTTCTGTACTTATGTCTGAAACAAATCAGCTGTCAATGGAAACTTAAAAAAAAAGAAGCACAAGGAGAGTTTGGCAGGAATCAGTGGATGTTTGGGTGAAGTTTATTTACAAACAGCAAAACAAAAATATTCCTTTTAATTCTGATAATTGATATGAATATCCTTCAAGATCGTTCACATTATCACAGCTACATAAATCCAGCATTTTTGACTTAACACTGTTTCACATTCTAATAAGTTAAAGATTGTTAAGAAAAAAAATAATCTGCAATGTCGTGTAGGTAGATTAGAGTTTTGTTAAAAACTTTGAGGCACCAGTAAAACATCGCTAAGATGTTCAGACAGGATTTTTGCTACACATGAAAGGTGCTTCTTCAGACTGGGTGCCGGAGCTTCATTGCTTCAGGGTTTGGAGTGCAGCGTCATTTAAGAAGCTTTTCGTTCATTCTCTAAGAATGGGAGAGCGAGCACGGCGAGGCAGGATTAAAAGAAAACCCCCAAAGATTAGCAACCGGAGTCTGCTTATTTACCATCGTCACCACGCCTTTAAATGCAAGTGGAAGAAAAAAAACAACAAAAAAAAGAAAGACCAAAGAAAAGAGGTTCAATCAAGGTTTTTAAAGTGTGCATTTTGTGCGCCATAAAGGATCATTGTGCGTAATCGAGGCTAAAGGAGGGAAAGAGTAGAAGGTGTCGGAGAGCGCTAACTGCCTCACTGGTGACCTGGCACTGTAATCAAAGCCTCCTCTGACATCCGTGTCACATCTACGTTCTGTTTGATAAAAAAAACAAACACACAAAAAACAAAAACAAAGAGGTGGAGGAATCAAACACAAGGGAAACAAGAGATACACTACATACACACATTAACACACAATTTGAAACCATAAATAACTCTTCCACGTTTGGTTCTTTAAATGTTTTTTTTCTTCCTTCATTGACAATTAGCTGTGAGCCAACAGGAAAACGCTAAATATTATGCATTTCATTTCGAGAGCTAAAGCATCTTGAGGCTTTATTAGTAAAGTTTAAAATGGTGCCAAATGTTTTCTGTCAGCTTTAAAGGGAGCTTTGAACACATTCAGTGTGTTTGCACCCTGCAGACAAACGACACAACTGAGACTACGAATAACAGCGTCACGTAACCCACCTCTGGTTTTTCTCTGTGCGTGTTGACTGCGTCCACGTTGAGGCTGATGGACTCCACTTTACAGCCTGTGATGACGGATATTTGTTGGTAAAGCAATTGACCTTTTTCATTTGTTAAGCATATTGAGCACAAAGATGGCAGCCCTACCGTAGGCCACGGGGGTCAGCTTCAGCACGGTGTGCAGTGGGCACTTCAGGTACGGCAGCTCCTCTGTACAGACAGAAATCAGACGAATGAAACCAGCAGAAGCACCCCTCGCTTCCTGTGTCCATCAATACAGACATTTTAACTACATTCTTTAAAAAAATAAATAAATAAAAAATAAAAAAATAAATATATATATATATATATATATATATATGTGTATATATATACATAAATAAGTTAAAAGACTTTGACTTCACTTAATTTCACATGATACATTTAAATATTTCTTGATATAGCTTTCAAATTCGCCTTATGAAGGATCTGGAATCATTTTTCAGACTTGATTCGTACGTCTTCTGGCTGCCAGGATTGGAGGATTTTCAGGAAAAATAAATGTCACAACTTAGCACTACTGGGTCGTCAACAAACGGAGGAAATCTGTATTTTATGTGACATGTTGAGCCATGTCTGTCGTTCATTCAGCCTGTGAGTGAGCGAGAGAGAGCAAGACTTTGGAAATTAGAGCCACACGTTGGACACCCCAACTTCACAGCATAAATATTACCAGCATTTACTTTTAAACAAAATGTTCTAGTTTCCTTACAAAACCCAAACAAATGTGTCATTTGCACATAATTCGGTTTTGGTTATTTCCCCCACAACGTTTCACTGGTTTTATTTTATGTTTGACTTCCTCAAGCACCCACCTGCCGTCTTGTCCAGGAAGTAGGCTAGCAGACAGCGCATGACCGCCTGGTGGCAGATGACCAGCACGTTCTCCTGCCTCTCCAGCTCCATGATGACGGGCTCCAGGCGCTGCACCAGGTCCTCGTAGGACTGAGCGTGGCAAAAATGTTCAGAGAGGCTAATCAGGTCATCAGTCAGAAGACAGAAGGAAAATCTGCAGAGTGAGGCTTTCTCAGTAAAGGTAAACAGACTAAACATCGGAGGAGGTGGAAAATGGACAATAATGACCGGATCCGTCTTCGCCTGGGAGATTAATGGAGGGGTAATGGAAGGCGAGAGCTGACCGGGCGGACGGGCGTTCAGCGAGAAAGCCACTGATGTGAAATCTTTGGTTACTGCAGTCTCGTGTTTAGCTAAAGCCGCCTTGGAGGCCGAATGTCCAAGCAGAGTCTCATTAGCAGAGCTATTTGAATAATATGTTTGCAATGTGGTTACTGTATTAACAAAGGAGAACTGAACTGAGTCGGAGTCACTCAAATGTAGACAGTGGACAAAAACCACAAGTTCATTCATCATTTTATGTAAAGTATGTCTAAAGATTTCTGTCTATGCATATCTTTTAGGGCTGCAACTAAGCTATATTTTAGTAAGTGATTATTTTATTTGGATAAATAATTGGATTAATAAATAATTTGATTCATAATTGGAAAGCAAAAGATGCTTAATAGCAGATTTAGGTTTTTCCAGGTTTTGGACCAAGTGAAACTAAAGCTACTAAAGGTCTGGGAAGAACATATTTAAATTTTTTTATCTTAAATGCAAAATATATATATAAATATATTTATACAGTTTGGGCTTAGTTACTGCTTTAAGTGTGTAGTTTTTTCAACAAACATCTGGGTTTTTTTGTCTGTTTACTCCAGTTAACAATTAATCAATTGCTAAATTAGTTGACGATTAATCACAATTAAGCTGATTAATCGCATTAGCCCTAATATTTTTATTGGCTGCCAATGCGCAGATGCATATCAGTAATTAAAATATGTTTGAAAAGTTAATCCTGTTGCTTGTGCATCTTTTTATTCTTCTTTCACTCAACTTTCCATCAATATGTTTACATGTGAACCATCAGCCGAGACGATCAGCGACAAACTGAGATACGATTACAAAGGTCTTCAAATTAACATAAACATATTAAAATTATTATTTCCCTAACGTTCTTATGAGGACTCATCGGTTGGTTCTGATGCCATTTGAGTTAACAGAGGCAGGTTTTAAAGTCGCCTCACTACCCACAGAAACGTGGGCCCACAAACGTTCCACAGTTTGGCTCCGATAAGGGGAGCAGAAGCCCACAGCAAACATCCAAAATGAGCAGAAATCGTCTTGCAAGTCAGCAGTAAAACTCTAAACTTACAAAGTGTCACTTTTTTTATTTCAATTCAGAACAAAATGCTGTAACTGATGACTCCGACTGGTTCAGGAAGCTTTAAATATTACTGTGAATGAATGCAAACGGTGAATTGCTTCACCGGTTTTAAGGACATCAAATGTTTGCAGGTAAAAAAAATAAAATAAAATAAAAAAGACAAGAATCACACAAAACTCTGACCTCTCCTTTTGGATAGCGATAGCGGTATTTGTCCTGGTCCCTCAGGGCAAACTCCAGGGGATAATTTTCCTGGATCTCCTCGTACATCATCTCCTCACATACACCCTAAAAATTACCACACACATTGAATAAAAAAAATAAAATGGATAAAACAAGTTACTTACAAACAGAACTATGAAAACAGCACCTGATGGTCCCTTATGGTAATTTCTACCAAATACTGTATTACTTATTGACATTTTCAGTCAATTGATGCTTGTTCTATTTAATAAAGAGCGCAAGAAGAAAATATTGTGGTGCTAATGTCACTGAAGTTCGTATCTGATTGAAAGATTGTGATTTAGCTCTAGATTAAAGGAGTATTTCACTGTTTTTGGTGAAATCTAGACAAACATTTGATCCTCTCTAGTGTTAAATCTTATACATCTACACTAAATTTGATGATTCTAATCTGAACAGAAATCCCTTTCAACACAGTTTTTAACGAAACTCTTGAAACTATTTGAAGAAAAAATTTATTTCTGAAGGTTTTTGGCAAATGGTACGACCATCGACAGCATGAAGATTACAACGCGTAGGCTGTGTTGTGGCCATTATTTCTCACTACAAAAAAGATTGTGTAGCCTTTATTCACAGGAATTTCATGTGGTAAAAAAAAAAAAAAAAAAAAAAAAACATGAAGCAAAGCTGCTAAAGGATTGGGAATCGAACCCTGGATGGCTGCTCTACCGTAAGCCCGATGGTCCAAACCTGAAATCTCTCTTTAATACACAACTGAAGTTCAGAGAAGGGAAGCGATGAGGTGAACTCACCGCGTCGATCTCGTTGAGGACTTTCCACTGCTCGTAGGGGGCGTTGAGGGCCTCTGCCGTCTGGATGGTTCTCTTCATCTGGCTGGTCCAAACCTTCAGCTCGCTTATTTCCTGCGTCTGGATGAACTGGTTCAGCTTCTTAGCAAACTGGACGGAGAAGAAGGACGTTTGTTTTACTCTCCTAGACTTCAGGCTACATTTCTGAGGACTTCTTCTCTTCTACCTCTTTCCCCCTCGGCGTGAGACCCGAGTCGCCTCCGATCCGACCCTTGACGTTGAGCTCGCTTTCTCCGTGGCGACACAGGTAGATGGAGCGCGGCGTGATGTGGATGTTCATGAGGTAGTAGACGATCCGGCTCTGGACGTGGTCCAGCACCCTGTTGACCAGGTAGCGCTGGCCGACATCCATAATCTTGATGAAGGAGAGATCCCTGAAAGGAGACGACGGTAAGTTGGCTCGGCTTTCATAGCTTCGAGTCAAACGGCCGACTGCGAACCGGTCAAGTCTCGTTGGATGTCATTGTTGGTCCTGACCTGTCCAAGACCTCGTCCAGCGTCTCGTAAGAGTTTTCATAGCACTTTATCCTCTTCATGAAATCCTCCACCGCTTCTTCCGTGTTGCAGTTAGTGTAATCGGGGCTTCCCAACTTTACTTGCTGAAAAAAAAATTTTTTAAAAAGAAAAAAACAAATCATCACCTTTTTCACGTTTTGTCACTTCATATCACAGTTTCTCATTAGGATTTTATGTGACGCATCAAAAAAAAAGTATTATTGTGGTGTAGATTAGATTTTCTTCAGCAGGAACATGGAAACTGTGGCTAAATATATGAGAAACATGAAGGAGAGGGGCTTCTGCAAAGCTGCTACTTACAACGATGTTTTCCTGAATGACTTCAGGGTCTTCACACACCGACTCTACAAAAAAAGCCTAGAAGAAGAGGGAGAAAAAACAGGTTCAGTGCAGCCACCATTAGAAACATTCACTTTACATCTTTACATGACAGCCATGATCACAAATTTTACTGGACAATAAATGGTGCCAGGAATTATCGCAATAAAGGCTAATACTGCTTCTTCCAGACCTTTTTCAAGAAATTCAAATAAGTCAACTCTCTTAAAGATCAACAAACTTCAATTTTGTAAAGAACGCTTAACACCGGAACGGGAAGAACCAAAGATAAATGAACAAAACGAGCAAAAACAATAAATAAAACAAAAAAATGAAAACCACACACATTTTTGCAAGCGAAAATCGACCTCCAAGGAATTAGAATCATTAGAAAGAAAATTACTGAGTTCATGTAAATTTTGAATCGATTTACTGCAGGCTTTACGACAGCAGGTTTCACCTTAAAACCATTCTGTTCTGCAAACTCCAGGATGGTGTCCCTTCTCTCTCTGGTGGTGTTTGTTGCATCAAAAACCTGCCAAGCAGAAACTGCAGTTTCAGGCGAGTCTCTTAATGCATAAAAACAAAGAAAAGTTTTAACATACAGCGACTTGGCCTCCTTCCTCTGTTAAATATTGTCGCACGTCATTCAGAGCCGCTGAAGCACACTGCCTGCAAACACAAAGCAGACATTCGTATATTTGCTGCTTAAGAAGAAGAAAAAAAAAACAAAAACGTTAGCATAGCGACGGCTACGGATTATACCTTCTGATCTTCAACCCTTCCTCGTTGTCGGGACGGAAAAACTCAAAGGACTCGTAGATCTTCAGGAACTCCCTCCGGTATTGTCCAACATTGAACTCTGGAGAAAAAAAAGAACAGGAAAACAAATAAATACTTTCTGATATTTGTACAGCTGGAGCTCCCTGTCTCTGATAAGTTCGCCTCTGTTCACCGTGGCTGAAAACGCCGAGAAGTCGTCACAGATGTGCACAGATGGACACTGTGTGGTGCTAGAGTGTCTGTCCCTTTAACTTTGGAGAGATAAAGTGCTTCTTTTTGTAGATCCCAGATGGTACTTCTGGATTTAAACGCCTACATTACCACCACCCTATATTTTTGTCAAATTCTAACAAACACTTAATACTGGAGCTGGAAGACGTTTTAAATATCCAAAATAAACAAAACAACAGTAACAACAAAAACAATGAATTATGAAGTTTATGTGAACAAAATTCTCTTTAAAAGAAGATAATTTTTTATATGTAAATATTTGAGTAAAATGAACATTATTTTATTCTCTCAACTACTGACAACATGTCTCTGAAATTCCAAGCAAACATTTAGTATTTATTTTCAGAAAATGAGAAATTGTCAAAATAACAAAAAAAGTTGCAGTGCTTTCAGACCTGAAATAATGCAAAGAAAACAAGTTCATATTCATTTAGAAACAACAAAAGTAATGTTTTAACTCAGGAAGAGTTCAGAGGTCAATATTTGGTGGAATATCAATGGGGGTCAGTGCAGTGGGCTCTTAGTTTTATCCTGAGCTGCACATGTATTTGTATATTCTCATCTGTTTTATTTGGACAATTTTTATTTTTTTTTTTTAAATGAAAGGTGACTTCAAAGACAAACGTCTTTATTTTCATGTGAGTGGCAGTGAGATTAAGACAACTATCCAGAAGCGAGGAACCAAAACGTTTCCAGCCCCAAAATGTCTGAGTCACTGGAAGTTAGTACCTCTGGTCGGCACGCCAATCCAGTTCAGGTAGCGGGTCAGCTTCTTGGAGATGTAGGTCTTTCCTCTTGCAGGCAGGCCCACGGTGACGATCAGGGTGGGACAGTTGGTCATACATACTAGAACAACGGAGGGAAAGAGAAAACCTCTGTCATCACGTTTTATGAGTATGGAAGACATAAAAAAATGCTTTCAGCCTGAAAACACAAAGGTAATCACTCCAATTATCTTCCCCAGCTATAAAAAAGTAAATGCCGGTATCACTTTTACTGCATGCTTAATTATTCCCTTTCATCATGTGTAATTAAAAGGAAAATATCTCATGCTAGAATGTTTTTATTTTTTATTTTTATGAGGGCTGGTCAAGGAGCAGAGGTCACTTTGTTTCCAGGACGTGTCGCTATGGTTGTGAAACGCTACATCAGGAAGGCGAGGAGCAGCTTTCACCATCGGGGCCCTTATTACCCGGTCAGAGAGCGCATAGTTTGCATGGTTCGTTTCTTTGTCATTGTGAGACACGGAGTACTTGTCACACCGGCTTTCTGAAATCTGTATCTAGCTTTGCTTTTGTTGCACGCCCAACCAGCCGGTAACGTCACTCCACCTCAGCAGATCCTTACAGAGCAGCTCTGACGTTCGCGTCTGATTCAGTGTTTGATTAAAATAACTTCTGGTTAGCCCGTGGATCAAAATTTTATTAGAAACAACAGAGGCTTCATACTTTTTTATAAATTTCATAGGTTGTACTGGTTTAAGAGGGCTTCTCCTAAAGTGTTTCAAAGTTAAAAGAACTCACTCTCTGTGTGTTTTCACCAAATTAATAAAGGTTTTACAGAGTAAAAATATTCACTTATGGTTAGATTTTAAAAATATATATATATTAATCTTGAACTGCAGCTTAACAAAAGTACAGAAGCTGTCCGAAATTGTGTGCAGCCCAAAGCAGAATTCGATCCAAATTTCTACAAATTTTTCACTCTTATAAACTTACCTATGAATTTAAAGTGTTTAGGTTTATATCCACTTTCAGGGACTAAACAGACGCTTAGTTTGCTATTGCTTTGGGCTGGCTGAAGCCAAGCACCAGAACAGCCTGCTGAGTCGGGTGCTAACTTCAGGCTAGTCAGTAAGATAAAGATATAAAATGTCGCGACATTTTAAACCACTCTGTGGCCCGCCACAGTCTGTGAGCAGATAAAAACGAGTGACTATCACACGGCAAGTCTTCCGCATGAATGCAAAACAAACAGTTCCTGTCTGTCAACTTCTGGGGCTTCGCCTGGCGCAGAAGCGAGGCAGAGATGAACAGAAGCGGGTCTTTTCTCCTCGGCGGGAGCACATCTCATCTGCGGGGAACATTATGTGAATCCTTACATAACCGTGCGAGCCAGACTGTTGGAGCAGCAGCGCTGCATCTGAACTCTGCACACTGTTCCCCCCCAACACACGCTTCAAAACAGACTGATTGACGCGGCGCTAATTCATCATTAAAGGGCGAGTTCACCAACATACGCGTCTCGTTAAAGAGCCAGCAATGGTAACGCTAACCTAGCAACTGTCGCCACGTCGTCTATACGCACCCCTTCGATGAGAAATGTGTTTTTCAGGAAGGCCATTTTTATTTGGCATCCATATCTTCTTCAAAGGGTTTTGGGTGAGTTCCCGTGGACTGAACGTGGATTTGTCCTCCATGTCGCTCTGCTGTGAGGCTGAGGCGGCCGCAGCGGGGACACTGACCCGGGGAAGCTTCCCGTGATGCTGCTCCGAAGGTGACCGGTGTTTCATCCGCGCGGCTCAGTTCAGATGGAAACAGACCCGCAACTGCCGCTCGCGCTCTCACTCTCTCTCCCCCCGGTTAATGTTGTGGTCACGTGCTCAGTTTCGCTTCAATGGGACCTAACACCGGCGACTCAGTATGGCAAGATATATTAACATTTAATCACAAACTCCAACCTTTACTTTTTCAGAATCAGCAGCTATAATATATGGCCAAGTTTCAGGACAAACAAGGGACTCCACCTTACGTAATTTTTTTTTTCAAGAACTTAAAAAAATTAATAAAAATGTAGCAAATTTAATCGGAAATAAAGTTTTTTTCTGTGAAAAAAACAGCAATGTCATTTACTCTTCGCCAAAATATTGTGAACTTTAATATATCTGATGCTGCTGTTACACCTAAATTCCCCGTATGTAGCACAATAAAGCCTACTTCTTTTTGTATTATAAATAGAATTGTTAAAGTCAAAATGTACATTATAACCAAGAAAATGCTAATATATCCAATGGAATACACAATTTGTATCCAGCTACTTCACACATTTTCCCTAATTTAAACTTATCTTCTTTGTAACAATGCCGTTCCATGAAATCCTCTCTATTTACTGCCAAATTTATAAATCTATATGTAAATGATAATCACGAGCAAATTGGAACTAAAGTAAAAATCCTTTTTTTTGTGTGTGCACAGACTTGACTAGAAAAGTTAATCCAATTCTCCTCCGAGCAATGAAATGCAATTTGACTTGCCATACTAGACCGTAACGACGGAAGTATAGGCGCAACATTTCTTCCTGTTCATCCATAGAATACGTACAGAGAAAAGCACTTTAGTTGGGTTGTGAGCAGTAATTAATTTGACTGATGAACCTTGAATAACATGACAGACCCATTCAGCCATAAACTATTATAACACCAGGATAAGCACAGATAGGACTAGTAAGGCAACAGGTTGACGTTAGATAAAATGTACAATGTGCACTGCCAGCAAAAATATTATCAAGATATTTTCTAATGTCGTTAGATTACAACAACAGGGTTTATTCAATTTTATATCGTGCTTGACTTGGACAAAGTAAAACATAACTATATAAAGGAAAGAAGACGAAACATGGTTTGTAAAATTCTTTTATACAAATTAAATTTTGAAAAATGACATGTATTTTGATTCAGCCTCTTTATGTGCCAGTGCTTTGCAGAAACATATTTTGATACAATTACAGATACAATTGCATCTGCATCTGTATTGTTTCTGTAATTGCAGATTTAATTTAATGTATTTAATTAGATGTGATGTCGACACAATGAGTTTAACCCACTGTCCTAAGAAGTTACACAATTAGTAGATAGAGTCCACATTTATGTGAATTAATCTGCAAATGTAGCTGATCTGCGAAGGGCACAGACATTTGTCAAAGAATATTAGAAAACCCAAAAAACACATTAGGTCAGGGAGAAAGATGTGGAGAAGATCAAAAGCATTTAAGAGTTATCAAACAATATGACTACCTTTGAAATCTCACAGAGCTCCATCTAATCTTTCATCAGAAAATGGAAGAATTTTGGCCTGACTGCAAACCCATAAAGACATGGCACACAAAAAGGAATGACGAGCTAGCCAAAGGAGCGCATTAATCAGAGATGCTGCCAAGAAGCTCTGGGTAACTTTGGACGGGATGCAGAAATCCACAGCTCAGGTGGGAGAAAAGTTTCATTCTGGAAAAGAGTTGAGGATCAGATAGTCAAATTCATAAATTATATTTATGCAGACGAAACGATGATCCTTAAAATACTCCAAGTCGCTAAAGAAGAAATGGCCTCTGAAACACAACATAATGAAGATCAGCAAGAGGAGAAGGAGCCCTCTAAGAAATCTACATGTGAGAAAAGGAGAGAGAACCGGGAAATGAAAGTGGTCTCTGAGCTGGAAACCTTCAATAATCAAAAGATTTCTGGAGAAAACTCTGAACAACAAGACGTTTAAATGACAGAAACAGCTGAGAATCAAACAGCCACCTTCAAAAATTTGATTTATACAGATGAAACTGAAGAAGAAATGATCTCTGAAACGCAACAAGATGAGGATCAGCAAGTGGAGAAAAAGCTGTCTAGGAAATCTGAATATGAGAAAAGGAGAACGGCAGCGACGAAAGCTGCTGCTGAACTGGAAGCTCCAATAAACCAAGCCAAGATGGACACTTCTGAAACTCAAAACTCTGGCAAAGAAGCCAAGACTCTGGCACCATAAACTGTGTTAGAAGTAAAACAGAGAACCTGCAGGCAGTTTTTGAGCAAAAAGAGACACAACTTGCAGCTTCCTCTGATGGACTCTACAACCAAAGTGAAATCTAGCCAGGAAGGGGAAGAACTACAATATAAAACATCCACAAGTAGGGAGTCACAAATAGAAACTCCTGGCCGTCTCTGAGCTTATGAGGAAACCTGCTTTCCTGTGTTGCTACAGCACCTCATTGTATTTGAGATTGTGTTATCCAAGCACAGTGGTTTTCTGTTGACATTACATCAGACGTGACGCCAGACAACATTCGCCTGATTCAACAACAATATCTTTGCTGAATGAAATGCTAACCTTTTAAAATCCGAGCTAATCTTTCAACACTGCTTATACTTGGAGAGCCTAGGGAGAAAAACTCCAGCTATGAGAGCGATTCTGGTTGAATCGTGGTACACATAAGAAGTTGTAAGTTCTTAACTGCTGAAGTTTTTTTTCTCAGTAAAACCTTGCAAACTATTCATATCGCTTAATCTTTTTGAAGTTTACTCAAGTTACAATTACAAACTTCAATGTAGTTTATCATGATTTAATGGCATAGTCCAAAACAAAGTGGCACATAGATGGAGTAGAAGGAAAATAAGATGCAGTTTCCAACCTTTCAACCTCTTAATAAATACTGAAAAGAGTATTTATAATTTGGTAGATACCTTGTACAAACACCTTTAACTGCAAATGCAGCTGCAGCAGACTGAAAGTGTGTCCATTTCTCTTCTTTCTCTTTTCACATCACGGTTATGTTGAAATTTGTTTTTGGCCCATTACATAAAATCTTAGCACTTCTTTCTCACGTCACTTTCAGACAAACGACACTAGGTGGCACTATTGCACTCCCTTCAGTGCTAAGAATCACTGCACATTAACACCAGCATGTCCTAAACAAAGCTGAAACAAAGGACATATTTCCAACACCTACATACAATTACATCTTTTCTTCATAAAATGTCTGCTTTGTTTCAAGGAGCTTCTCAGAATCTATCTCCATCCAGGGCGAACAGAAACCCTCAGTGTGTGTGTGTGTGTGTGTGTGTGTGTGTGTGTGTGTGTGTGGGCCAAGTGCAGCCACCTGAAAACACCACAGCGACAGGACTTCTCCCGAGCAGGACCAAACGTTTCTGCAAGAACGTTTCCAGGTTAGTAGGCCTATCTGTTTGGTGCTTTTTCTTTTGCGCTGATTATATTAAGCTCAGAGTCACGCAGATGGAGCTGCAGAGCCTGTGACCTAAATGTGGCGAGATGGAGGCGTTTCTAATTAAATGACTGCAACATCCATCGTTCCCTTACTGCTGGCGGACCATGATTTAAGTCGGGTTCATAGGGTCCAGGAAGAAAAGTGGCTCCCGTGACTCACAACATATTTTTAGAATTTCAGCTGTCTAAAGTAAACATGCTGCAGAGCTTTTATGATCCTGTACAAACTGAGACGGCCCTTATCGGCCTGCGCTCATCTGGTGGGTCATGTTTTTTTTTTTATTTATCTGATGGTCTCGACTGTAGCTGAATGGGGTGGCTTGAGACGCTGTTAGTCCATGCACTTTCTCATAAAATCTACAAACTTTTAATGTATTTTCATGAATTTTACAAAGTAAGAACACATGCATTTTGTCAAAGAGGGAAATACTACGATGCAGCTCCAAACTAACCAAGACATGGCCGTCCAGCTGAGCCGACAGGTCCGGCAGGGAGAGCATTAATCAATAAAGCGACCAAGAGGGCCATAGTAACGCTGGAGGACCTGTCGCCATGACAACTTAAATCTATCATTTGTGGGAAAGAGGCAAGAAAAAAAATCTATCGCTGTTAGAGAGAGGTAAATAGTCTTATTTGTATGTGAACAAGTGTGCTCAGGTCAAAGTTCAGCCACATATAAAATGAAATAATTTCAGAACAAAATTGCCTCCATCATCAAACACGGCAGTGGCAGCATTATGCTCTGTGAATGCTCTGCTTTCTTTTTTTTTTTAAGCAGGGACAGAAAAAATGCTGCAAGTTGATGGGAGGATATATCATTTTGAATCAACATGAAAAATAAACGTTATTTTGAAACAAAATTGCTGTCACCATAGAACACGGTAGTGGCAGCATCATGGTGCTAGAATGCTTTTTTTTAATACATACATAATTATTTTAGCTGGGACAGAGAAATTGATGGGAGGAAAAATCATTCTGGATCAACAAGAAAAATGAAAGTATTTCAGAACAAAATAATTTCTATCATGAAACATGTTTTTCTTTTTCTTTTTTTAGCAGTTTAGCAGAGCAAACAATAGTGTCTGAAAAAAAAAGCAGTTGGACTAGCAAATGATCTTAGGTCGATGTCTGAGTTAATCTACAGCCACAGATACAATAACATTGGTTAGATCAAAGCAAAGTTGTGGTTAAAATTAAGTCAGCTAAAGACTAGACCTGGAATGTCGAAATTGTTTGTCACATGAGCCAAAAGTAATATGGGGCCAAATATAATATCATTTTTAAAAACTAAAACTAGCAAAAATTTTGTTTTTTTAAACTTACTCAGCAATACATTAAGCATGGATGTTTTTTGTTTGTTTTTTGTAGGAAATGGATCATACATCCACAATTTCAAATGATTTTTGTGCGTTTCCCTTGTTCATGGAAATGTATCCAGTTGGCTTATTGTTCTGGTCTCAATTTAAGAAGTTCTCAGCAATAAAAATAGTCTTCATTCAAAAACACTTTCGAATTCCAGTCTGCTTTATCACAAGCAGACTGGAATACACCAGAGTGTGCACTAAACCTGTTCAGGAGCCACAAATGGCCCCCGGACCGTCACTTTGTCCACCCCTGATCCAGACCTCACACCACAGCTTTACAGCTGATAAAATGCTGTCCGTTCACTCTGACTGAGCTTTCAATCTGGCCATGCGACAACACATTAACTCAGAGGGCTGAATTCAAAAGCACGCCACACTTTTAAGATTTTTATTTAGCCTTAACATTCTGCACCAAGTTATCTCAGTTCTTGCTGCTGAAACCGAAACCCAGGCAGAGTTGTGCACTCCTTTTTGGTAAAACACTGACGTCTGTGACAAAATGTCAAAGGTTAAGGTTGACGCCTGCTGTTTTAAGGCACTTTAGAGCAGCTATTTATGTTGGAAACAGATTCTTCAGTGAGGTGTCTCGCATAGTTTACACCAGAGCATGAACAGGAAGCAGAGCTCAGCTCCTCCTCCTCCTCCCAGCAGCTGCCAGGCTCTGATTGCAGCTAGCTGCCTTTTAGCCCGGACAAGTCACTTCCCAATATAGAAGTGTGTGATAACCGTATCCCTTCAGTAAGGATCCAGCTCCGAAGCCCGGATCAGGGGCTTCAGCATGACGTAACTGGACTGGACGTGTTGCGTCGCGGCGGTCCAGTCTAATAAGAGCCGCACAATCACAACAACAAACAGCTGTAAACAATCCGACCACATACAACCCCACACAGCCATCATATTTGCCGCAGAGACAATGACAACCACCGACCGAGACCGAAGATTACATTGAGACGGAACGTCTCGTCCTGATTTCTCTTTTCTTTCCATATTCCGTTTATTTATATAAATCTAACATGTTAGTCTGAAGCCCGGATCGACCCGCCTGCCTCTCCATCCCCTGTTGCGGTCCAGGCTGATGTTACCAACAGGCTGCGTACTGTAAACAGCAAAGATTATCGTCAGATGCTAAATGTAGGGGAAAGGTGAAAGCAGCGCCAGCAGCAGCAGCAGCGCTGCTACGTCTTAAAGAGACGTGTAGACCCCACGGTCGCTTCCTGTATTTTTGCTAAAATGACAGCAACAACGCAGCTAAACGCAAGGATTCAAAAAAATTATAGTAGTAGTAATAATAATCATAATTAAAAAAAACAAAAACAAAAACAAAACAAAACAGCGACGTGTCTTACCCGCCTTGCCCTGGTTTTGCGTGGACTTGCATCGGCTGGAGCAGCCTCTCATGGTCGTGGAAGAGTGTCTGATGGAGCGCAGTGCGTGGCGGTGAGTACGTGCCTCCAGCAGCAGCCCGCACACCACTCCAGTGATGCTGGAGCACACACACACCCCCTCTGTGTGTGCTTGTGTGTGTGTGTGTGTGTGTGTGTGTGTGTGTGTGTGTACGTGAGATAGCGAGGGACCTGTAGGTAGGGAGGAGACTTGTACAGAAATGGATGTGATGAAGGAGTTGCCTCTACCTGTCTGTCCTCCTCCTCCTTCTCCTCAGCCTCCTTCGCCCCACCCACCATCTGACAGCTGGGTGGCCGCTGCACCCGCCACTTTGTAGGGGCTGGACCTTTCAGATGACACGGGGGAGTGAAACTTAGGAACCGCACGGTCTGCGTGGTCGGAAACCCTCAAATGAATTACATTTGCATTGAATTAGCAGGGATTTCGCGGAAATTTTTGAAAAATTAAACTTTTTTATTTAATTCAGGGTGACTTGCATTAAAAGAAATCTTTAACATACACGCAACAAAAACTTAAAAAAAGTTAATGCTTTTTTTTATGTTGGACAAAGTTTCTAGGAACCTTCAAAGAAAACATTTCTGTTCCATAGGGGTAAACCACGAAGAAGAAGACTTAAGCCAGTAAGTAGCAACAAAACACAAATTTCGTTGTTTGCCAGCCGCCAATAACATCAAATCTAAATCTTCTTCTGAAGAAGACCCTCTTATGCTATATTCCACTTGTACTCGGAACTAGGAAATCCCCACTTTCCTGTCGAAAATAAAATTAACAGTAATGCCCTCCTATGTCCGACTGCCCTCAGCTTTTGAGTGATTTTGCATTTCAAAATGGCCGCATAAACGGATGTAGTTCAAATGTGTTTATTTTATAAGACACATGTAAAATCTATGCTACGTGTAAATTGAACAAATTAAAAGTGTTGTTTGGAAAATAAAGCTTAAAATGACGCTTGTAAGATATATTACAACACAAACAACCTCTACGGGCGTCGCCATATTGAAATCCCGACTAAATAACTACAGTTGTTACCTCGGGTTTGACGTCAAACCCAGCCCCGATATCCGTCTTCCAAAGTGACTGGACTGGACAGCATAAACCCACGGCGCGTAGGCAGGTCAAGGAGCCATCTTGCCACCACACGCTGGGCAGATCTCCAGAAAAGCAGCATGAAGTATCATGTCAGGGTCACAAGTCTCCATAACAACAATTCTATGATATTTGTGGGCAGTGCCGTCTTGTTGATTGGGAGTGATGCCTTAAAAATAAAAAGCTTTCTCTGATCTGCCATGGCAAACATAAATGTGAAGAGTTCGCCAAATTTGACTTGAACTTTTTTTAAAAAATTATTTATTTATTATAAATAATAAAAAAAAAGGTGTGCTCTAGACATGCGAGACTGGGACTGAGCGTTCGAGTGAAACAAAAATCCATTCCATGTGGAATTGGTGTGAAACAATCAATTACTAGCCCACCCACACTGAGTAGAAAAACACCATCTATACCATGGAGTACAGCAGATGATGTATGATGCTGTGGGCCCGTTTCACTTCCAAATTTTTAGGGTGTTGTGTCATGAAGGAGACGAGGAGATATTAAATAAAAATCTGAGATGCAACTGAGAAGAAAATGAGGAAAATGGAAAAGGCGTCATTACTGGGTCTCTGAGCAGATTAATGATCCAAAACATGTTCCCACATCAACACAGAAGTGTTCGACTAAACAAAAATATATATTCCACAGACCTACATCCCACAGAAACCCTGTGAGATGAGCTATAGAGACAACAGCAGAGGACTCGGAACACTGGACAAGATGTTGTAAAGACTTGCCCTATCGGGCAAAGGTCATTGCACCAAGTATTGGCCTGAATGCCTAAAATATCTGAGCGAGAAGTGGCAACTCAGGTTCCATCAGATGCTTAAATTTGCAAGGGTTTTGCTTGTGACATTTCAATAAGTTAGTATTTTGATCATGTTTTGATTTGCATTTTGGTAAGGCCACTGCTAACCCAGATCCATTCTGCCATTTTGATATAGATTAACTTCTGAACTCGGGATCGTTGAAACAATGCATGAGCCAGTTTCAGCTGTCGCAGAGCCGGCCTCACCTTTGAGTTGAGAACATTTAGGAATACCTATCCCTTCTCTGTAGTGGATTAGCAGTTCAAAGAACCAACAGGGTGCTACAGCTGGACTAATACAAGTTATAACTAATACCTTATGTTTCTCAAGTCTGTCATCAAAATTAGTCTCCACAGATTCCCCTGCCCGTAGGAATCTGCGTGTCATTCAGCGATTGGTCGGCTCTGTCCTAGCTAGTGTTTCAAAACAAACATCATGGAAGATAATAGGTCTGATTCCCTGTAAATGAGTTGAGTCACAAATGTTTTTCAGAGATCTGAAGTTTTGTAAATGATTCCAAGTTAGTTAGGCGACGAATTCCAAAAACATTATCCAGGGATTTCTGGGTAGATTAACCAATCGATGAAACATTTAGTCAATGGATTCAAACCCCTTATAATCAAATCTCTGCCTTTGTGACAATAAATGTGGAATTGCGTGTTATGGTTGCACAACTTCACCTTAGTCATGAATGTCTAGAGGAAATTTTTCCAGAAATCTGGCAGTTTGTTCTGATGCAACTTCGGAAAACATGCTGACATTTTATTTCTCTAGAACCAAGAAACTTCTACTGGCAGCAGCTCCAAACCAACCATACATGTTCAGGCTTATTCTAGCATTGATCCATTGCATTAACTTATTATTGGCAAGACCTGACCTCCGTGTTGTTACATCTCCTCATGTGCATCATGCCAACTCATCCAAACATTTGAGACGAGTAAACGGCCAAAGCATCTGCTTCAACAAAGATTGCTTTTGGTTGTTAAATTAAGCTTGCTTTACGAACTGGTTGACATGAAAGAGAACGCGTGTTTATCTCCATGGCTTTCCTGGCTAATTGTGCCCTTTATACAACTTTAGGAAGAGGCATTTGGAGGTTTCCAAGGGAACCGCAGCTAGACGAACTGGTCTATCTGGTGTGCCCAAGAAGCAATGAGTCCTTTCTTTACGTAACTGAACCCAGACGAGGCATGCGCCATCTTGTTGCAGTGTTTGTTTGAGGAGAGAACAAGTGTGGCATAATAGAAAGTAAATCTCATCTCATAGTGCTGGGACATGCAGAGAGGTCCCAGCACTATGGCTCTCTAAGGATAACATAAGCATCATGTGACCTGTCTGTGAGGACTGGAGGCTATTTTAGTAGGAACAGCAGCAGCCTATGACAGCGCATGGCAGTGACTGTAGAGCCAGAGTCTGGAAAGGACGGGAGTTCATCTCAGTATTTTCCAGGTTTTGATCAAAATTAAAAAAATAGAAGATGGAGTAATATTTACATTTATGTGGTTTATGTCTTTTAACCTAGTTTAATGCATTTCTTCCTTCTCTGAATCCTCTCTTCCTTCCTTGTGTCCATCTTTTCTCTGTTCCCTCCTGCCGTGATGTCTTTCCTATATTTCTCCTTTCTTCCTCGTGACCTTCTCTCCCTTTATCACTCACTCACTCACTTCCTCTATCCAGTATATGGGGGCGCCTATTCTACCACTGATCCACGCGCAATCACTTTCTTTTCATTCTTTTCTCCCTCCATTCTTGCTTCCTTTATGTCTTTCAGCTTTCAAACTTTTGTCCTTCCTTTATTTTCCCTTTAAGTCTTTACTTCTTTTATAGCATCCTATCACATTCCTTGTGTCCTATTTTTCCTTCCTCCCTTCCGTTTTTCTTTCCTTCCATCCTTTCTTCTTTGCCTCCTTCCTTCTTTGTGTCATGCTTTTCAGTCTCTGTTTTCTTTCAGGTTTTCATTGCTAAATCCCGCCCGATTTTCTAGGGAACTTTTTAATGACCGGGTCTGGAAAAGTGTGAAACATTGACACCAAACTGTTCAAGCAGAGCGAGTGGCTGCACGTCTGTGAGTTAATGAGGCGCTCACACTACGTAAACACAACTAATCAGACGTTTCAATCTGAGCCAAAAAAAACAAAAGACATAACCAGAAGGCATCAGGGAAAGTTCGGACAACACTGGACTATGCATGACAGGGAGGTCAGGTGACATTTGTAGGTCACAGAGCTCTTCATTGACCCTCTCCTCCCTCCACAACACATTCCTTCCCAAAAGGCCAAACTGATCAGTGTCCCTGCTCCACCCGCGAGACACTCCTCACGTCCTCCTGTCTCCAAACAGCCAGGAACATACCAGTCCTGCTGGTCTGAGATCAAGCTATTGAAATGTGCCTACGTAGAATGACTGAGCTGATCATCAACAACATCAAGGAATGTCAGGAGCTTCAGCATCAGACACTTCACAGGCCTGTTTGTTTGTAAACCACAGGTGAGGGCGGGTGACTTTTGTGGAATACCGCCAGCAGGAAGTTCAGGAGTCACTGTTGCACCATCGTGTTAACCGTGCATCAGCGATGCAGTGGATGGCGTAATCGTGACCAGCTTTGTTTTTCGTGAAATGACGCATAATCACAGACAAAAACATCTCGCTGCTGCTGCTTCAAGATGAAATTCACAATCTGTGAAATTCCAGCAATAAAAAAACAAAAGAAAAGGAATAAACTCTTGTACTAAATATAATTTCCTCTTGCTGTGTTTACAGCCGTATCTCATCATAACCGAACCAAACCAAAGAGGAACTCACAGTTGAAACCAGTTGTTTACATACACCAAATAAAAGACCCGTTTCCCACGGTGTGAAGTTAAACGTCTGCTACATTAGGTCAGTAGGTCAACCATCTGGAACTTGTCCCCTAGGATGAACTGGACGTCTGTAGCACCGCAGTTTTCTTCTTGATAACTTTTGACTTTCCCCATCAAGAAAACAGCGTGTTCCAGGTGTGGCCAGGTGTGTTCCAGGTGTGACTCCAATTAACTCAATTATGTCAGTCTGTCTATCAAAAAAAAAAAAAAAAAATCCAGATCATGACATCATGATCTGAGCTTTCCTCAATTGCTTAGAGACAATAACCATTCTGTCGCTTCTGATTTTGAAGATATTGACAAATAAATCTGACAGATTCTCTCGTTATTGTGGCAAACAGAAATGTTTTCGGTCATTCCGACTGACCGAAAACACATGAAGTTTGGTTGGATTTACTTTAGAAAAAATATGTATTTTTATTCACGGCATGCAAACCTTTGCTTTCAACTGCATAATCATTGTCATCGTCTCGTTGTTCCAGGAGTTTATGATCCCCTGACCCATAATCCTGCACAGCCATATGATCGAAGTGGGGGAAAGGTTATTTTCTTCTAAACATAATATTGTTGACCTTTTAGAGTGTAGTGGCACGTCAGATGACCAAGTACCCTAAAAGCACTTCACTGATGCTATTTATAACAACCTAACAAAGCTTCAAGGACCCCAGTTACAGGGATGATGATAAAAAAAGCCTTGCACGTAACAGGGCGCTTTGCTGGTACTGGGAAGTCAAAAGTTCTGAGTTCAGTGTCGGAAAAAATCAAACACAACTCTCTGTGCAGTCAGGAGAGTTGGACATCCTCAGCTAATCTGAGTTCAGATTAAATATGGCGGTTGCTCATATAGTTGAGGGTACAAATGAACACTGTGTTTGGGTGTTTCACACTCAGTTCTCAACTCTTGAGACAGACACATGAGGAGACCTTTGACCTTTCCAGTTAGACTTCAGGATGCCTTTCTTGTTGCATTAATCCTCAAAATTTTACAAGGACCAAACATGGGGACGTAGCATTCAGTTTTTATGCTCCTCTAATCAGGAACAAACTTCCAGAAAACTGTAAAGATGCTGAAACACTGAATTCCTTTAAGTCAAGGCTAAAAAAAGACAACACCTGCGTAGCGTATGGATGTATATCTGCTTGATGATGGCATTTGATAAAATGTAATGTTTATTGCTTATTTTACAATTGGTTACAGTAATACTTTTATTGGTGTGAAGCACTTTCAGTTGTCTTTAGTCAAATCAAGTCAATAAACTTGACTTGAATCCTCATGGATTTAAGTCAAGTCAAATTTCAACTGCCTTCATGAGGCGTAATCCGAAAGCAACTTAGAAGCGCTTCACTCAGCTGTCACACTCAATGTTTCTTAAGCTGAATGTCATAAATCCATGTCACACCATTGGTAACCCACCGGTTCTTGTGTAAAACTCCATTGCACGACTTTTGTTGCTCCATTTACGGGAACTGGCAGCGTTCCTCAATAACACCACAAAGTAACAAAAAAAAAATCTTACTCGGTAGTGAACATGACGCTATGTTTATTGCTGCTTCAGTGAAAAATATTACTTCTGACGGAACTGTAGGTCGATACGGAGGCTACATTTTAATAACGGGACAGTCGGCGGGAGACTGGGTTTTAATTCTGAAAGGAAAGCAGCAAAGGACAAAGTTAAGACAACACAGGCAATGAGGAGTGCTTCACAGTCTCTCTTTCTCTCTTTGTGCAGTTTGTTTCTTTGTGATCTTCACAATTGCTCCAAAGGAGGTTTTAGGCATTCAAATACACAAAAATATCACCGCAGATACGTTGTGTCTGCACACCTAGTGCTACAAAAAATAATAAATCCACAAATTAAAATAATTAACACAGACAAACCCACAGCGAGCAGAGCTGTCGGTTTCTACCACTGACAGGAACGAATGTCCAGCTTTAATTCTTCCCAGGGTGCATTTCAACTTCCAGTCTCGGAGGTTCAGACCGGCCCTCTGAGTAACGTCATCCGGTGCTTCCTAACTCCATGTCCGAAGCTGCTCCTCTTCCTCGGCTGACGCTGTTCAGTCAGGACTCTCCACAGAGTTTCCTCGTCGTCTCACTGGCTCTGGCAGACGGTGGAGCCGCCCTTCCCCCCCGCCGCGGCCTTCTTGCGCCTCTTGTTGAGGAGAGGGTTGCTGGATGTGTCGAGGTCCTTGATCTTCACCTGGTCGTAGTCCACGCGCATGGTCGCCAAGGCGCTGGTCATCTCCTCCTGCGAGAGACAAGGAGGAAGGGCTTGACTGTGGTTTTCGAGGTGGCAAACAAAGAAGTTAATTATTCTGGTACTTTCTCAAACTGGAACTAATGTTTTCCCTACAGGAGACAGGAAGACATCCGTTTTTAAAAGTGCACAGTCACATTAAATAAATTGGAACAGACGTACCGAGGAGTTATTTGTTAGATTAACAGCCATGTTTGTGAGTTAAAAAATGTTTAAAGTTTACAGGAAATGTGAAAATATCACTTGATAGCTTTTTGTTATCAGAAGACTGGAATATTAATACCTAAACACCAATTACAAAGTCTTTAAAAAATAGTTTATATACAATTTTATTAGTAAATTGTTTTTAAACCCTGTGTTTTTTGTTTTACTATTCACTGTATAATTATGCAATATTTTTTTGCTCTGTCACATAAAATCCAAGTAAAATGCACAAGTGTTACATGATGAAATGTAAATAATCATTGCAAGGCAGTCTAGTAGCAAAAAACATAAAAAATAAAAAACATATGCAGAGAAAAAATAAGAAAAAGTGGACAGGCTGAGCCCAGATCCCAGGAAAGCTGGTTAGTGTTGATGTTAAGATGGGGAGTATTTTTATAAACCGGGTGAAAGGTCAAAGGTCTCTAAGCCAAGGTCAAGAGAAACTGGAGTCTCAGAGCCTTTTCCAGTTCGTCAGCCATGATCCACTCAGCCTGTACAAAAAGAATTACAATATTTTCTGGTTTTGCACCTCTATGTGCAGTTTGCCTAATTTTTACGCAACACAGCAGTGGTTAGTTGCAACACAGAAACCCATTGTGAGCTTCTCATTTTAAAGAAAGGTCTATTCACTTTTTATCACTTCAGTCATGCACATTTAGTTGCTTGTGACGGAATGTGCAAATCTACACTGGACATTTTGCTCAGTCGAATCAGGCCTGTGTGACTCTCACGGAGCGTCTTATGTCTGTGTATAACAAACAGAGATAGCTGGAAGGAGGCCATGACTAGTGTTAACAGAACATATTTAAAGAAAAACGCTTCCTCTTCCTCCACCTAGTGGCAGATGAGGAGTGTGACAAAAAACTTAACAGGAGTCGAACTCTGTCATCTAGTTTGCTGTTTTTCTGCCAATTAAATTTTTAGTTAAACATAATTTATTAAATCAAAGTCTTTGCAGGTTTCACCAGCTCAAATTTGAAGATCATTATGAATAAAATTTAAGAACTTGTATCATGACAGAAATTTACTGAAGAAAATATATTTTTGCTATGCTCTTTACAGCCTTCATTCACCCCTACAGTGGCAAGCTTTTTTTGCACATAATGCACATAGTCTTGTATAGGTTGACAACAGAAATGAGCCAATAACGAAGACAAACGTTGCGCAGAAAAATGGCGACAAATTTCATGACAGATGCAAAAACAGCTAGCTAGCTAGCAAGGGTATACATATTAGCAGCTTTAGTTTTTAGTTCAGTCTCTAGGTTGTAATGGCAGAGTGTGACCAGAAGGTGTCAGTGTTGACAGTTCTCCAGCTTACCTTCACATCCTCCCACAGCTCCTTTTCTTCGTTCAGGACCCGAGTGGTGTGGAGCGGAGTGGAGGGAACCATCATGGACTGCTGCAGAGCGGGAAAACACACACAAACACTTACACACAAACTGAGACACACACATGACTAATGGGAGGGGATTTACATGGTCAGCTGCTTACATTGATCCAGGGGTGGTTGGTGAACTGAGTGATGGTCATTCTCTCGTTCGGGTCCGTCTTCAGTAGCTGTTGGATCAGATCTTTAGCTGGGGAAAGAAAAGAAAAAAAAGAAAAAAAAGAAAAACGCATTGTCATTATTATAAGGTTAATAGCTGCAAACAAGTGAATTATTGTCTCTCTGGGAGGGGCAGTGTGGCCTACTTCTACAATTTCCATAAGTAAGGCAGAATCACCTTACAGCTTGAGTTTGAACAAAACCATACACCAACGTTTGGAACAAGAAAACTTGCACCACAGACGAAGCTGGAGCTGCAACTACTGGGCTGGTTACAAGAAGGCACACATGAGAAAAAGCTGAGGGTTTTGTGGCGAGATGCTGTACACATCTTGTAGCTCAGCCTGCTGCATCCAGGGCAGTAGAGTTTGAAGCCGCCCGTTGAGGATTTCTGCATTAGCAGAACCGGCGAGTCAAACTAATCGGAGCGCAGAAAGAGGCTGGGGTTGTAGTTGGAGATCACACTCCTTTACACAAAGCAGCACGTCATTTTGAATCAGAAGGAACGTGATGTTTACGTCTCCATTATTTTTTTAAATTAATTTAGATCTAAAAAGTGTGGCTTGCCATTGTATTCAGCCCCTCTTTACAAAGTCGCCTTCTGGCGTCTCTTGTCGGCTTTACACAACCAGACCTATTGGCCCGTTTTCAATAAGGCCTCTGTGAAGGTCAGTTTTCAGGAATTTTGCAACAGATTCTCATTTTGATTTAGAAGTTTGACTAGGCCATTCTAGCTCATCAATATGCCTTGGTCTAAACCAGGGGTGGCCAAGTCCAGTCCTCGAGAGCCACCATCCTGCAAGTTTTAGAAGTATCCTTACTCCAACAGACCGGGATCAGCTCTACAGAGGCCTGATAACGAGCCAGTCATTTGATTCAGGTGTGTTGAAGCAGGGATGCATCTGAAGCTTGCAGGATGGTGGCTCTCGAGGACTGGACTTGGCCACCCCTGGTCTAAACTATCACACTACATGTATTTTAAAGTTGTCGTCCTGCTGGACGGGGATACCAGGCCATCCTCCTCCATCTTAACATCAACACTAACCAGCTTTCCTGGGATCTGGGCCCAGAAGCTTCACTTCGGTCTCATTGTAAAAGAGGACGTTCTTCCAAATGTTTGCTTTTCACGGCTTGATGTGAACTGAAAATAGGACTTCTTATGCCTTTCTCTTTTCCACTGTGTCGTAAAAGCCATATTTTGAACCTGCAGCCCTCTTCAACTGAATTAACTAAACATTTGGAATGTTTTTCTCTCCAAGTCTACAACTAATGCTCAATTTTGGTAATGAATTATTCTGATGATCTGTCTATTAATCACATAAATACATTTGTCACATTCTGCAGATTTTTCGTCGAACCGCATAAGACTTTTTGTGCAATGTCAGAAATACATGAAAAGGTGCAAGCAAATAAAAAATGTAGCTCCTTTTGTTGAGAAGAAAAGCCGATTACTGCGTGTAGTGCAACAACATAGCATTCCTTGTAGCAAAAGATGCGTCTGCAGCTGAAAAATACTTCTAATATCAACATGTGAAAAGCTTTCTGCTTGTCTTGACGTTAATACAGTGTAGGGCTAATCTGATTATTATGTTTTCCATTTACTGATTATAAACTGCATAGTAAAATGTGTTTCACAGGAAAATTTCTTCTGTGAGGAATTTGAACCAGTTGAGGTTAAAACGAGGTTCTGAGTGGAACATATTTAAAGAAAAACAGCCTATTTTAAAAATGCTAAATATATATGTTTTTGTTGTTTGTTTTGTTTTTTACAGTTTTGGCTTAATTACGACTGAGTAAGTCGTTCTTTTAGCAAATTGACTTTGTTTTCTTCAGTTAGTTAACAAGTAATCAATTGCTAAAGTAGTTGATTATTTTACATCTCCACAGTGTTCCTTAATCTTCTGGATGATGGTTGTTCGCTAACAAACATTTGGGGCCTTCAAAGACTACACAAAGTTGGAGTCTGTCTACATATTTGGTGACTTATGAAAGCAGTTGGTTGCATTAGGTTGTATAATTGTTATGGAAATGTATGGTACACATTTTGATTATTTGTAAAAAAAAAAAAAAAAAAACTGAAATGGGTGTGCTATTTTCATTCTATGTCATATTATGCACAACATTGTGATGTACTGGAGTGTTGTTATGGTTTGGGGATTGTAAAAACAAAAATATCAACTCAAGTGGGATTTAAATAAGAAAAAAAAAAGAACAAGGGGATTGACTCATCTGCTGTCATTGTTGGGTAAAAGGAGATCAGCTGGTTGAGGTCGGAAAAAAGAAAGACTAGAGACGAGACAGATCGTCTGATAGGTTACGAAGGCCCGATGGTTTAAGCTGAAGAAGACTGAAAACCTCACGCAAACCACGCAGAACAACGGGCCTGTTTTTATTTTGAAACCCACAACAAAGATGCAAAGCAGTCCGATTTGTCAAAGCTGAGATGTTATCTTGTCCTGCATGTACGGCCGCCAGTCACCTGACTAAAGTTTTCCTCTGTGTGAATTAGTAGGTCACCCAGTCAAGCTGCAGAGTCACTCTGTGCAGCCCCACGGTTTCCTGTTTCTGGTGCGGCTTGCTTCAGAATAAGGTCAACTCCACACAAAGGTGAGAGTAATAGGTTTCATAACCTTCCTTAAAACTTCGTTTGCTCGCTTTAGTAAAAAACTGACATGACTAAAGATATAGAATGTGCTGTTTTACGTAGGAGAAAACCACAGAAAAAGAATCCTTCAGGGTTTTTTTGTTCATAAACTCTAATTCCCTGTCTAAGTGTTGAGGATTGTTTGATCTGCGTGTCCTCTCATGTTCAGGTGATTCCGGAGGTTTTTGACTTTGTTTGCCACAGATCCACTTTGGCGTTTGAACTCCTACCTTCCTGTGACACGTCGGACCACTCCGGGTTAGGGAACTCGTACTGGCCCATCCTGATCCTCCTCTTCATCCCGGGGGAAATAGCTTGGCCGGTGTTGGAGTAGAAAGGAGGGTAGCCGCACAACCTAGTAGGGGAGGCAAACAGATACGAGCGTTTTTTAATCTGCCTCCGATACACTTCTGTATCCACAGTACTTTACAAAAGTAACCATTGCCTTGATTTATTATTTTTTTTAACCTTTTGTAACATTACATACACAAATGTTGTGCATTTAATTTGGAACATCACATTGTGTGGTGCGTTTTTGTACTTTGACAGCTGTGAGCTATACTGTAATTTAATCCCACAGCACAGGAAGCCCTTTGTGACATTTGTCTCAAAAATACAGGGCACGGCAGACATGGTCGCATGAAACCAAGGTGGAAATTTCTGGCCTACATGCAGAATGCTACTTGTGGTGGAAGATTAAACACCAGCCTGAATGCATCACCACCACAGCAAAGCACGGTGGTGGCAGCAGAGGACGGAGTTCACCAGAAGATAAATGGGAAAAATAAATAAATACAGGGAAATCCCAGGAGAAAACATCTTAGAGGCTGCCAATGGAATGATTCAGATCGAAGGGAATTTATGTTAGGACGGCCTAGTCAAAGTCCAGATCCAAATTAGAATCTTTGTCAAATCTGAATGAGAAATTCTGGGGGGAGAAAAAGAATGGTCAAGATGGATTGTCACTAGGTGTGGTAGAGACAAAACCGAAAGGACAGGAAGTGAAACGGGGGTTCAACAAAATATCCACTGGACGCAAACGCACGCCACATTTTCCAGATCTTTATTTATTTGAAAACAGTTTCATCAAGCGAAAAAGCTCAACAGGTGTATCTATTATTGGAAAGCACAGCTTAAATCATCACCACCCTCACCCCAAAGAAACCCCTGACTCTACCGTCTTTCTACTTACAGGATGTACATGATGACGCCCAGAGACCACATGTCACACGACTTGTCATACTTCTCCGGACCCAAAACCTCAGGAGCTTATCAATGATAACACACCAAAACATACACACAGAATACATAAAACAGTTCACATTATCAGACAGAAAAAGATGTTTGTTTTTTGTTTGTTTTTTTGCTTTGAAGCAACAACTCCAACTCCTGATATCATTTTACACATCTCAAACACAAAAACATAAAAAGAAAAAAAAAAAAAGTCATGAAACCTCTTACCCACATAGTACGGTGTGTAGCAGGGAGTCTGCAGGGGGTTATGTAACGTCGTCTCTTTCGCAAAGCCAAAGTCTGTCAGCTTCAGCACTGCGTTTTTGGCTTTGGTGGTGTACAGCAGGTTCTCCGGCTGGAGACGCGAGCAGAGAAGTGGACGGAGCCAGAGATTAGGATGCGTTTTTTTTTTTTTTTTTGCAATTTGGAGGTTCCCATCTGGATACCTCTACGCACCTTGATGTCTCTGTGGGCGATGTCGATGTTGTGGAGAAACGAGATGGCGGTCCCGATGTCCCTCATGATCTCAGACGCCTCTGGGAGGAAACACATAAACAGACTCTCTCAAACCAGAAGCGGATCGGGTACAGCAGGATATGAGGAGATGGAGCGGAGGCCCGCTTTGGTTTTAACCTGCATGTTCGGTGGAAGTTTCACTTCCTATTTGTACCGGCGCAGATGAAGCCATGTGACCTTACACTGTTTCACACCAAAAGATTTAAAATAATTTAAACTTCACACATGAGTTTTTTTTTTTTTTTAAAGATGACTCAGAGTGGCAGCTGCATTCTCGTGATTTAGCTTTAAAGAGGCGCATCCGATGCTTTCGGCTGAAGTGCATCTGACTCCACGGATCTGTCCTTTCCTGGGTAACGCCGTCTAAGGAGAGAGAGTCTGATGTGGTCGTTTATTCTCACCTTTTTCAGTGAAGGCCTGGTCTCCTCTGGCCTGGATTCTGCTGAACAGCTCTCCTCCTTCCATACTGGATAAACAGAGATCAATACATGACGGTTAGTTTTTCACGAACAAAATGACAAAGTCCAATTTATTCCTTAATAGACACCGAGATTGTGTATTTTTTTTTTAATAACCAGTTTACTTTAAAACAAAGAATTTTAATTGATTCTACTGATTCTAAATCCCTTGAAATCGTTTCTTTAGTAGCTCTAAAAGATACTGGAATAAGATGCGTGAAGGAAACGTTTAAATCTGTTTTTTTTGTTGTTTTTTTTTTTTTGGCGTGGGTTTCCATGGTGAAGCAGATGCATTCAAGTAACATCCCAAGTGGGTCTCAGTGGTGTAAGTAGGACGGGGCAATAAATCAATAACACTGTACATACACAAAATATCATCAAAAAATACGTCTGGAAAAATGTTCAACTAACTCACTCGTTTTTTGGTTACCTAGCAACAACCGTTGAGTAACTTGTAAAAAACTGCTTAAAAAAAAAAAAAAAACAACAACAATGGTGTGGAGTGAAAAGTTGTGAATAAAACAGGAAATGTCACATCAGCAGTTTGGCTGTATTTCATATATTTAAAACAAAAAACTAATTCATAATTATCAATATCGACTGATATGAAACGCTTATTTCGTGACAGGTTTTGAGGCATATCAGTTAAATGATTTTAAAGTGATCAACCAAACAAGCTATGAAATGCTGGTCACGTTTGAAACTAAAATAAATGATAGAAATATCACCTAAAATAGAGAATGATGAGTAAGCATATTTTGTGTGCTTTACTAAACATTCTTAAGATACAAAATTTCAAAGTTGTATCGCATTTTCTTGTTTAATGTCTGTAGCTTTGTGTCGTATTTTGATTTGCTTGAATAGTATTTATCAAAGTTTAAAAGAAATATTCTGATTGGATAAAAAAAGAAGAAAAAAAAAGACCTATCTGTGATTGGCTGGTATTGTGGCTCATTTACATGAACTTTACCAAGCTGGAAGCACAAACAAACACTGTGCCAGGCGTGTTCCAGAACGAGCATGTAGATTCATACGCTGCACAAGTTCAGCTTGAAATAAAACAACAACACACATTTTTTGACGCACCGGCCTCGTCTGAGCTTATTTTCATGAGTCCTTCTTTCCCCTTGAAGAATTCACTCCTCCTCGGGTTTCACATGGCATCTCTGCTAAGATGAGAGACTAAATATAGAAAGATTTTATCAAAGCCCCTCAGCTTGTCTATAGTGTGAGCCTAAAACTCTCCAGTCAGTGATTGGAGGAAGGCACCTCTGTCCTCATACGGAAAAATAAGATTGTTTTGTTTGTGGAGTGCCAGAAAATGCTTTGCAATGTAACAAGCATCGACTATAGAAGCATAACATTTTCTGTGGGTTTCTCTATAGTGGGAGTGTTTTTCAATTTACCAGAAAATGATGACATTGGGTCTTCAACATTTATCTTATTTTTTTTTTCTTTTTTACAAAACTTATACTGGTCTGGCGATCACCAGTCGGAGTCGATTCATGAAAAACCAGTAGATTTTAATTGATGGCAACACGTTCTGGAAACTAAAACGTCTTAGACAATGATCGACCTCGTTTACCACCCACGATATTTATTGACGTTTTCAGATAACGTTTTACTCAAGGATTACTGAACTCATTTACAGTTTTATTTTCATTTTTTGATTCAAATCATTCCCAGCATTGCTTGAAAGTTTTGAGGGTAACGTCACCAAAATGTTCCAAGATCAGTTAAAAGTCTGCTCTCCCCCACTCAGTGACTGATACCTGAAACTCCCGTCTGCTGCTGAGCAAAGTGTGTCCATTATCATTGCTGGGTGGATCTGTGAGCATTAATGAGAGTGTACTTTTTGTGGTTTACAGATGAGCAGATAGGTGAAGGACAAGTGTGACTGTGAACGCGTTTTGGTCCACTATTTGCAGTGTCCTCTCAGCAGGGAATCTTCTTTTAGTTGCAGCTATGAAACTTAGTGAACAAATTAGAGCAGCTGTAGCCGCTCTCTACTTCGTCAAAAATAACTAACTTATAACACACACACACACACACACACACACACACACACACACACACACACACGCACACACACACACGCACACACACACACAAAATGAGCAGATGTGAAAGCTGATGCTGTTTAAATGCTGACATTTTGGGTGGTGACTCTGAGGACAGTCCTACTGTAGATATGCACAGAGAAATGGGAAGTTTGACAGGAATTAGCAAACTTTCAGGTTGACTGATGACAGGTGGACGAAAGCCCAAAAAAAAATTTCTTTTCCAGTCAGCGAATGCACCAAATTTAAGCACTGCACTGCAAAAATCACACGTCTCAAAAGAAGTTAGAAAAAATATAGAAAACAAAACATTTTTCCCATGTTATAAGTGAAAAAAATTGCCAGTATTGAAGAATCATTGCCTTAAAACAAGCTCCTATATATTTCTGAGTTACTTTTAAGTTTTCTCTTATTTCAAGTGTACTAAGATATTTCCACTAAAACTGCACAAAAATATATATATTTTTTGCAGCTTATCACAACATAACATGAACATTACTCTGCAATGTAAAAGTTGTTACTGAGTGAATAAAACCTACATTTTGTGTTAGATTTGAAGTCAGGGAGATCACAGACTTATAAGCCAACAGAAACTGTAAAACAGTATTTTATATGTGAAGACGTGTCTACTGTTCATTTAGGGTTAGACAGAGAAACAACTTAGATAAAAGGAAGGGTCCATTTTGTTTTAAAGCTTTCATCACCTGCGTGTCATAAATCAGGCTGGATTTTAAATAACTATAATCCTTTAAGAAAACTCTGAGTTGGGGAAAGGAGCTACATTTTCAAGATGTACACATGAAGACTGCTGCTTTAGTAGTAATGTTAGTTTGCCATCATCAATAATACAAAATACTAAAGACAGTTTAAAATGCCAACCACATTCTCATTTAGTTCATCTCTAAAATCTTAGTAAAACTAAAGTGATATGGCCTCTACTTCTGATATAAATAATTATTGACTCTTCACAACAGGAACACACCTTCATTGTTGCTCTCATCGTGTAATTATGTTTTATAATTCTCAAGCTGAAATCAGAATCAAAATTTGCAGGGCTTAGCTTTACAGAAAAACAAACCGATATGCTAAACATACAGCACAGATGAGATAACTAACACAAAACAGGTTGCTATGTCTGCACATAGATTTATTAAATGGAATTCTATAAAAAAAAAATAAAAAAAAGTGAAGATTTACAGGCTTGTACCAAAAGTTTGTATTGTTTGGACACTTTCTACCCTGCAGAGCTCTCCTGGCCCGTTTCTGTGCCTGAAGGAAAACGAGCTACTGAAACTTTTCTTAGTCTGATTCCTCTTTTGAGTTCAGAGGTAAAAATGTATTGTTGACTTGGAGCCTTATCTAAAGCTGTCACGGCCCGACGGTGTTAATCAGCGGTTAAAGGTCATGAAGCGACAGTGGAAACGATACCGGGCTTTGATAGGCCTTCACTCACACGCCTCTGAATCAACAGCGATACAGCATTACTCAGACCTTTAAACTTCACACCTCCCTACACACACATACACACTCAGACAGTGAGAGCACAAAAAGTAGCAAAGAGCTGCGGCGTAAATAAAAGTGGTTACAATGATCAGCTGCTGTGTCAAGACGGTCATTTCCCTTCAGTCACTCCCTCCCTTCTTTTGATCTCTAAAATTATGCTTAACCATCAAAACCAAGATGGGATGGGTTTTAGTTGTTTTAGTAGGGATAAGTTCTCTACTCTTGTTGATAAAAAAAACAAAACGACAACTATCTTTTCTCACAGATTCCACACAGTGTGAGCGAATCGAAGGTAGTGGGCCTCACGTCTGGAAAGACAGCCATTTGCTCTTCTAGAAGAGAAGGGGATCTACATGAACTCAGCGTAAAAACATGAGAGCCGCAGGCCTATCTTTAGATTTTTGGTCTGGGATTGTTAGATACAGGAAAGTATTTAACTCTGTTGCCATTTTTTAAAAACCTTAACCAGCTAGAGTAAGATTAACATGATAAAATCTTCAAACTTTAGCAAACAGAAATCCTGCCTCAAAAAAAAAAAAAAAAGCCCTTTCCATGACTTTCAGCTGAGGAGATACGAAACTACATTAATACAATACTCAGCACTGTGAAAAAAAAAAAAAAAAAAAAAAAACTCGGAGAGTGTGCTTGGGCTTCAAGTTACAAACTGACGGGCGGACGTTTTCATTCACGACTTTGTCAGAGAGCAGAATCTGTGGTCCATTCAATTACAACGAGTCGTTCTGGTGCTGAAGATGCAAACCAGCCCCAGACCATCACACAACCTCCACCATGTCCGACTCCTGCTTTTTTCTGAAAAGCTGTCAGTTTTATGCAAGACATCTAACGCCCAGAAACACCAACTTTTGTCCTGTTTACTTTCTCATAAGTTTTGGGAATCATCCAGCTGTTCCTTTTGATCAGAGTTGTTTTGTCATGGAAGCCATTTTTGCAGAGACTCTTTCCTAATGCTGAATCATGAACACTGACATCAACTCAGATGTTGTTCTGGATTCTTTTGCGACCTCTTCCATGATTCATCGGTCTGCGTTTTGAGTATTTTTTGGTTGGCTGGCCACTCCTGGGAAAGCTCCCCAGTGTCTCATGTTTGCTTCATATGTTTGGATTTCTACAGATTTGTGGTTAATGACAAGTCTACGATTTTGCTTTACTTTCAATTTTTCTGTCTACTGTGAGCCACAATGGCTTCGGTTGCTTCTTCCCTTAATAAATGAAATCATAATTTTAAAACTGCATCTGTGGCATAAAAATGTGTTTTATTGTTTAAAGTGTGACCAAACAAACAAACAAACAAACAAACAAACAAACAAAAAACGCTAAAGTTAGAAGAAATCTGTTACGGAAAAATACATATCACCATACATTTGTCATTTTAAAAAACTTCTAAATTGTGACTTTATTTTATTACAAATATAGGATGTGTTGGTGTGTACAAAGCTGAGTTAGGTCAACATTTGTAAAGTGTCATCCTACCACTCCATGATGATGAGCAGGCATTTCTTCCCGTGGTGCATGTTCTCGTACAGACTCAGGATGCGAACGATGTACGGCCCACCAGACACTCGCCAGTGTAGCTCCACCTCCCGTCTGGCTTTGGGACTGTCGTAGAGAATCTGTTGGGTCAACAGACATGGAACAAGTGAGAAGCACTTCTTTAAGTTATTACTAAACGCCTATGAAGATGGGTGCAGATGCTATAAATGTAGAAAAGCCAGGTGTCCCTAAGAAAGACTGAAAACAAATGTGAATAAAAAATTGAAACAAAAGTCTGTTTTTGTCTGATTGCTTGTTTCTGTGGGTATAAGATCTAATGCTATTATTATTAGCAAGCTTTATTTTGTCACCGTCTCTTAAATGTCGCTGCATTTAAGGGGCAGTGACATGTTGGGGGACAACTAACTCTAGATGGACTAATAAAGTTTTAGTGGTAAAACAGGCCAGTGTCATCAATATAATGCTTAAATTCTCACAAATAAAACAAATCAGTGAGACTTTCAGCTGCTTCCATTCACTGCTAATGGAAGCCTAATAACTATTTCCTGTTACAGTCGTTCTGAGAAAGTGGGTTGCTGCACACAGATTGGAGTTACAATGCTGTTCAGAATCAGAGCAGGTGTAACTGTAATTATCTAAATGCCTCTAAAAAATATGTTTTGTGAATGTAACTTTACTGTGTTAAATCAGTAACTCATCATGTGTTGCTTTTAAATGCATTGGTAGGTCTCCAAGCTGCTGTTCTCACATGTTATTCATGCCTTCTTACGCCTCAGAGGGAAAAATCATGAAATAAAAATTTTCCTTAAAAAATAAAGTGCATTCAAACTAAGGGCTTTACCAGAAACATGCATAGATGAAAATTGGTATGAATTGGTGAGAAAAAGATTACCTTAGTAAAGGTTTAAATTTAATGAACTTTTAGATGTGGGGAATTGTTTTGTTTTTCTTTCAGTAGAAATTGTCATAACAAGAGAATGTAATTTCCACATGTCAAACAGAAATGAGATAACTAGTAAGAACTCAGCTTTTAATAATGTGCTGTAGGTAGAAAAACTTGTTGTTGCTGCAGCCAGCATTAACTCAAGGCAAGATGGCTTCAAAATTGGTTCCTGTAGTAAAAGACTGACCCACATAAAGCAGCTAATAACATAAGGGTCTAACCTTGGGGCCAGCCCAAAGGAAACGGAGCAGCAGAGCGAAAACATGTGTGGTTTCAAACTGTGACTTCCTAAAACCTAAAACTAAGAAACAGGTGATCAGTCAATGCTTGCTGCTTGCGTGACAAGGTTGGTGTGCTGGGTGTTTCAGTTCTTCACCTGTGTTTTTTTGTTGCTGTTGTTTTAAAATATTGTTGCCTTTCTGTTTTTGGAAATGTGTGCGCATTTCCAAAAACACATTCTTCATTAAAGTTAATGAAGTCAAGTGTCGCAGTACGCTTCCTAAAAAGTTTGCTAAACGGCCTGTTTAGCCCACAAGCTGAAAAGGCTAATTAGCGAGCGCTAATAGAAGCGCTCCACACGTCAGCAGTACTGAGCTGAGCATGTGTGTCGCCTTTAAGGGCATTCGTTCAGATGGTTGGGTGTGTTTGACATATGCAGATGCAGGACGCGGTCACCCTCATTTAAGCTCACATGTAGACGTACGCAGCAGGTGTTTGACTTGGACGCCACATGCAGTCAGAGAGTATTTTTGGGTGCACCAGTGATGGAGTGATATGCCGTTCACAAGGCCAAATAAACTGCAGTTCCTAACACACACACAGTTTGACTGAGTAGCAGGTGGCAGACACACAACATAAATCTGCGCTGTGTTAAATGGCGTCGAACTGTTGAGGTGACCCAAGAGCGAGCGCAGTCTGCCAGCAGCGAGCGCCTGCTTCGGTAACGTCTTTACTGCCCGGTTCTTCGTTCCATATTCCCCTGTCTGTCTTCACTTCTCTATCTCTTTCGAAACAACAACCATAAAGGGAAAAAAAAGGGGACTATTTTAGGACTTTCACATTCAGCTACTAACGGAAAGAAAGGAAACTTCCTGGAAACCCCAAAATGTCACAAAACAACACCTAGCTGGTGTAAAGCCATGTTTCAGCTGGCTAAAGCTGAGGAGGAAGTCAAGAGATCAAGTGGAGCAGAGTGTTGAAAGAAGAAGTTGAGGATTTCCGCTGACTAAACTTGTCCGATCCAACACACTCTGTGTCTCATTTCTTTTTTAGCTTCACCCACTTGAGGCTGACTTTGACAAAAAAGCAGTGGGCAGGTTTTGTTTCTAATTGTGTTCTTTATGACTTTATGGCTTCAGTCTGAGCAGCAGGTTTTTCCTTAATTTCCTGGATAGGAAGAGATTGGGGGGCACGAGGGGGGTTGGAGATAATAAAACTGAATTAAACGCACCACAAAAACCGGGGGGAGGGGGGAAGCAGAACGTTGAGCGAATACGACGAGCTAATCTCATGATGGACTTTGAACACATAAACCAATCAAAAACGTCCCAGCACTCAAAGCCGCCTGATTTGTGTCAGGAGAGGCTTAACTCGCACCGAGACGCACGATTTGCCTGATCACTTCGCTCGTTTTAATTGCCCCGATACGTCTCAGAGAACCTTAATTACACGCATGCACACACTACCACACGGAGATGTTTACGCGCTATTAAGTATCGGCACGGTTCGACGAGGCCGTGTGTATAGCTTCATAAAGCTGTGGTTTATCTTTACAACCTTTTACCAATAAAGCAGGACTCATAAAGTGAACAACAAAGCGTGGGTTGAACATCCGATCTGTGAGGGTTGATTAAGCAAAGAAAAAAAAAAAAAAGAGAGACAGGCCATTCACAAGTCTTGTATAGTCAATACAAAGACTTTTGAAGATGTTTAAACCAGGTTTAGGTTTGGAAGATAATATACCGAGCTCTGAACATCATTGTTCAACCCATCATCTGAAGGCATAAAGAGTATGATGAAGCTCCAAACCTAACAAAGACATGACTGCCCACCTGTATATCTCCTGGAAACCCCAGGACTGTCCTGGGTGGACAGTCATGTCCGGCAAGAAGAGCAATAATCAGAAAAGCAGCCAAGAGGCCTGAAGTAACTCAGGAGGAGATGCCGAGATCCATGGCTCCGGTGGAAGAATCTGTCGATGGTACAACTATTAGTTCGATTCTCCACTGATCTGGATTTTATGGTCGAGTGACGAGAACAAAGTCAAATTTGAAGAAGTTGTAGTCCAGTTTAAGGTAAGCCAGGTAAAGAAGCAGAAATCCAGGAAGACAATCTGAGGCTGTAAAAGAAAAGGTACGAGGTTCACCTTATGACAGACAACTCTAAACATAAATTAATGTTTATTCAAAGTACCGTATTTTCTGGACAATAAGGGTGTTTCCACACCTCATAGTCTGGTACACTCGGTTGAACTGGGAACCAAAATTGTAACCTTTGTTACTATTTCAGTAGCTGCGGTTCGCTTTCGCATTGCACTATGTCAAACAATACAAGCCAATTAAAAAAACCTATTCCTCGCCCTCGAACTAAAAAGTTCAATCTCTAGATGTGCAGAACTTGAGAGAAACATACGGCAAATTACATGCAGCTGTAAATATTGTAAAAGGTGGTTCTGAAAGGAGGCTGAATCCAACTGCGCACCAAGATTGATTTTATTTTTTCTTCAAAGCTTTAAAAAAAACATTTACAGAATGTGCTTTCACTTTCAAGTCACAATTATGCTGCATCCTGCTTTAGTCTTCTAGTGTTGGTTAATCCCAATGAATTACATTGGGATTGAAGTTTGTTCTTTTAATGTAAAAGCACATTGTGGGGAAAAGTTTCAGGGGAATAAATACATCTGCAAGATGCTGAACGTAAAATTTCTAAAATCGGTTTAAACAGAACCATCAGTGAATAAAATCTGGCTCCATCAGCTAAAGGCAGATATATGAATAACTCACACTAAGAGAGACTTTAATTTCTTTTACAGGAGACTAGAAACAGCTGTCATGCTCCTCTTACAATCTCCTGATGCGCTCAACCGAGATGTCCTTAAAACCTGGGAGACTGATTAACTTGTTTAACAAGACCAACTACTAACGGAGAGCATGCAAGATATGAAACAGCAGCTTAGGAAATATTGATATTTTGCATTTGGCTTGCAGCACAGCCATAAACACAGCTACCTCTGCTATAAAGAAGGTCTATCCTATTCATAGAGACCTCTAAAATGAAATAATTACCGGCAAGATTTGTGCTTAATGGCGGTGCTCAAAAGGCCATCCAAACAGCACGAGGAACCCTTTGTCCTGTCGCTAAGTGAGACAAATCTGAGTTAAAAGACGACAGTAACCGAATTACATTAAAAGGAATGGCTCCCGGCCAGCACTGCCGTAAAGTAGATTAGACCTATATCCATCTATCACATTTAGGGCTCAAAGTAACTTTAATTTAAGACACAAAATGGACGACTCTTTCGAATCCACCTTTGATCATTTCTACTCCAATTCTATTTGTTTAGAGGCAAAAGGGGGAAAAAAAAAAACCTTCACCTGAACCCCGTCAACCTAGTTGACATTGCCACCACAACATACGATGGTAAAATATCTCACATCTATACAGTTTTTTTTTTTTTATACCTCCAAGAGGTGTCAGTAGGTGCAGACTAATGTGCATATGAACGTCCTTGGATAGACATTTGACAAATGAGAACAATGAGACATGTGACATCGCTCTGAGTCACTTGCCTCGATGTTAAAGCCAATATAAATGAGTGTGAGAGGCCTGGTCTAGGCGAATATCTGTCTGAACAGAAGGGGCGCCTTATGCGATCCGTCAGAGCAAATGAAAGATGAGCTCTTGGGGCTGCCTGGCTCCCAGACGAAGCCAAACCACACACCACAGAGGGAGAGCTACATTAGAAGCGTGTGTGTGTGTGTGTGTTTGTCTCCATCATTTTCCTGTAAAATCTTTACATTTCTTATGATAACTGCACAGTTTGTGATGTTTTCTCACACTTTGTGTCACAATGACCCTCTGTGGGCTCACGCTGATGAAAGCTAAAATCTGCCAATCATGAAAGCTGTTACGTGATCAGACAAGAATTCGAGGAATTACACAACGCTGCTGTTAAACCTTGATAACATTTCATGCGAACAGCTCACTTTATCAGTAGGAAATTCGCCTTGTAGCCTCAAATTTTTAGGCAACATGCATTTTATCTCTCTCCTCACGGATGTTTGTTTCTGCCACAATATTTTGACTTTAGCATGTCATCTGTCGGTCGTGGTCTAATTTTATAAATTTTTTTTCATCTTTTCTGAGGCTTTCGAATACACAGCAACACAGCTGCTGCTGGTTTTGGTCACTCAGACAGATTACAATAAGCCTGCAAATCTCTGAGCATCTGACATTGTGCTGACAGGTGAGAGGTAAGTGCGGTGCACACGTGCCTGACTTTAAGCGTGCGCTATAGTTTCCGCTGCTCACAGAGAAAGATATCACCATCAAACTGCACGCATCTCTTTCAATAAGTGATATCACAAAGTGCTTCACGGGAGAACACCGACCTCACGTCTCAAGTCTGAGGGCCACTGAAGGTTTGTCTGCATCTTAGCACAGGGAACCGCCTCATCATAGGACTTCAGAAACCTGCCAGGGACGTTATGGGTGCAGAAACTCTCCGATATAAACCTAAGGAAGAGCTCTAACTGGAAACCAATGCATCAAGATTGAAGTCACATGTGAAAACTTGGTGGATTTTCTCAGAAGCCTGGTAGAAGCATTTTGAACAACTTCGTTAAGACCTTTTTGTGCGTGAAAAACACATCTAAGCATGATGAAACAAAAGCATGAATAATTGTTCTTCCATTCAGAAGGCGAGTCAACGGAGCTTACTTTGGCGATATTTCTCAGAGGATAAAAACAAGAACAAACCAGAGACTTGACATGTGCATCCAAATTAAAAACCACATCAAAGTCTGGTAAAGATCCACGAGGTCCAAATATCTCCTTTATCAACACATGGATATTTCTGGTGCAAAAACAATTATTTAAGTTTTTCTACGTTTAACGAAAGAAAACTGTCACCCTCCGCATTAACACCGTCTACGCACACTAAGACTGCAGAGTTCAGACGTTGTGCAACTGAATATCATTGCATTGCAGTGATTAGAGATGTCTTTAAAGACAAGTGCATTAAACACAGAGTGACATTTCCTGAACATTTGCATCTGTTCCTCGGATAAGTAGATCTTCTCACTTCAGACATGTAAGCAACTTACAAAAGTTACTCACACGTCTAGAACTTTTTTGTGATGTTACAACAAACTTCAATGTATTTTATAGGAGTCTCAGAGGTAGGCCAACAAGTTTGTGGACAATTGTGAACTGGATGGAAAATGATCCATATATTCCAACTTTTTACAAATAAAAATTGAACAATTTAGCATGCACTTGAGTCAATATTTTGCAGAGCCTCCTTTCACTGCAATTACAACCGCAATTCTACTGGGGTAAGTATTAACTTAGTTTGCGTGTCTGAAGTTTTGCCTATGCTGTTTTACAACATTGGATGATCCCAGCCTGATTGGACAGAAAGCATTTCTGAAGACTTGCCACAAATTTTCAATTGTATTCAGGCTTGGGATTTACATAGGCCATCCTACCTCACAAACATAGTTTGATCTATATCATTCAATTGTAGGTCTGACTGCATGTTTAGGGTTGCTGTTCCACAGGAAGGTTAATCTTCAACCCATTCTCAAATTATTTTGCACCCTCTAACTGGTGAATTTAGCTTCATCCGTCTTCCCGTGAACTCTGACTAGCTTCCCTGTCCCTGCTAAAAACCCCCCCCAAAAAACAAAAACAAATAAGCTGCGGCCACCATATATCATCATGTATTTGTGGCAAAGTATAAACAGGATTTCTAATGGCTTTCTCTTCACAGATATTTACTTCTTCCCACTCTTCCATAAAGGCCGGAGTTTTGGAGCACATGTCTAATAGTTACCGTGGGTCCCTGGGATGTTTCTTTCTGCCATAAACCCATAGAGATAAGATGCCTCCCTAAGTGGAGACGATGTTATCTCACATAGCTCTGGGTTAAAGAAAAAAGGAATAAAACAAAACGTCAACAACATGTGTAAAATCTGAGTCAGAAGTCTTCCATATTATTCATTTCAAAAGAAAACGATTAAAAAGAAAAAAGATTGTAGTTATTACATAATCAAATAATAGGAGTGATTGTCTAAGGTGTCTATTGCTGCAAGGACTAAAACATAAATAAGTAAAAACGATCTTTGGTCAGTATTAGTCTCCTTCCCACAGTTCTCCAGCTCAGCATTCTCCTCTCCCAGCTGCTCCACCTTCCTCTGATTAGCTCATGTGGACTCGGTGTCACTCTTCACTCCTTCCTCAGTTTATAAGTTCACTGACCTTCGTTGTCCTCTATTTGTTCCTCCCCTTACTCTGTCCTGTTCTCCTTGCAGACAATCAGAAAATTCTCTCTTTTATTAAAACTCCGCAATGCTCATCCCAAGCTTCTGTCTGCATTTTGTTCCTGCTCTCAACACGCAAAACATGACAGTGCTGGAAACAAAGCCGTCCTAACCACAATCAGCTGACAAAGTGAAAGGAAATGTTTAAATTAATTCAGTATTAGGTCGTCTTGATTCTATTTCGGTGAGTCTGAGAGAAAATACTGCCCTTTCCTTAAGTTACAGTTTCGATAAAAAAGTGTCAGATGGTTCTGATGCCATTACAAACCAAAGTTGGTATATGATTTCTAGTAATCTGGAAAAGCAGTTTCACTTATTTAACCATTAAATTAATAGCGACTTTAAATCAAATGTTAGTTTTTTTTTCTGTGTTTTTCATCTTCCGGCTTATCTATAATCTTCATATATTTATGGCATTCTAAATTTGAATGAAATAGTGAAGAACACTGGCCACATTTAAATATCCTCAAGAGAGTAAAATGTTGCTGGGTAGGGATACATGTCTGATTATGTGTGCTAATTGGGGCTTCACAGTACACTGTGAAGCTCTGCTGTTGTATGTCGACTGATTATTTTAGGCTAGTTTAACTAAAAGAAAGCAAAGTTGCCTAAAGCAAAGTGTTGTGCAGCGTCTTTTATTAAAGAGGCTAGCTTCATTATTACAATAAATAATGAAATTAAATGCATCAAGCAGTCTGTTTGTTGTAGCTGCATGCGCCTGTTGCACTACTGATTCAGCAACAGATAGATCTAATCTAAAGTAAAACAGCTAAACCTTTTAAAAACTGACACACTGATGGTAAACAACATGGAGCGCAGTGCAGCTTTTTAAAAGTACTTCATTTAAGAATAGCACACCTTTTATCTTATGAACCTCTATGTGTGAGTCAAACAATAATCTTGCCCAGGGCACCAGAACAGTGAAAGTCGGCTCTGCTTGGTAGGTTTAGACTTGTGCCATGCTCCTTCTGTGTTCGGATGACGGACTGAGCAGGAATCTGACACACATTCCAAGCTTGGGATATTATTTTCTAACCACACAGATATATTGTCCTTGACATGTCTGGTGTGGTCATCATAATGCCACTTGTTGTCTAACAAACATCCATGATCTGAATAAAGAAGGATATATATATATATATATATATATATATATATATATATATATATATATATATATATATATATATATATATATATATATATATATATATATATAAATTAAGAAATTACCCAGATTAGTATTTTGTTTACTCACTGGGTGACTTCTGAAGGCAGGTTGTTGCGCCATATTTTATTTAGGTGGCCACAACTACAAAAGCATGCCACACTTTTCAGATTTTTTGTTTTTGTTTTTTGAGGGGGTCGGTTAAGATGTTTGGTTGTATTGTAATGTGAAGTAATTTTAGGGTTATAACTGCTTTTAAAAGCTAATAATTGTTCTGGGCTCCTTATTTTCCCAAGAGTACGAGTATTTCTAACTCCAGAAAAGTTTTTGATACTCCAACAGGTTTCTCAGGCATTTAGGACAGAGTTAAAGGAGAAACTTATCCATAACAGTTTGCATGAAAGTACCAATATGTAAAAATATCCTGAGATAAGATGTTAGTATTGGAATAATTGTGTAATACTTCATAAAATCATCATGCTATGATTTAAAATGTAAGTGAACCGAACAGAGCTGTCATTTAAACACAAAATATAGCAAAAAAATAATGTTTTCAAAAACTTGAATTTGTTAGATGCTTTTCATTTCCAAATAAATCTGTTAAAGAAAGCTTCAAAAATGTCCTTACTGTATAATGACACACTTCCTGAGCTCAAACAAACCTCTCCATTCTTTTGCATATCTCGTTTCTACAACAAACTAGCAGATAAGTGTCAGGTTACTTCTTTACCTTCAGAGCGCACTTCTCTCCGGTCTTCTTGTTGAAGCACTCCAGAACCTTGCCGTTGATCCCCAAGCCCAGAACCTGACTGGAAACCTTGTAGTCGTCAGTCACTGCGTTGCGCTTTATCTCCAGTTTGGGATAAGCGGGCATGGGGAAGTGAGTGGACCCGGTGTCGGTGCCCTTCGTGTCCTCGGCTGGGAGCGCAGCTGGCGGCTGCTGCTGTTTCGGGTTGTCGGCTGAAGGTTCCGATTCGGTTCCATCGGTCTTTGTTGACTGCGGCGGTTTTTCCTTCCCGTTACCATTTTGAAGCATGATCGCACCCGGCTTGGAGCGAATCTAAGAGAAGTTGCTTGATGACTCTCGCAGGTCACCGCGTAAAGCCGACAGGTTCGGAACCCTAACCACTAATCTAAACGCCGATCACACATTTGTTCATCCTGGACAACAGGTCTTCGGGGGGGAAGGGGAGAGAGATAAAAACGCCACAAAAACCCACTCCGTCTTCTTTTATGGGCTCATTAGTAATTTAGTTTCAGATGTTTCCTTTAACTGCGCGCCTGTTTTTAAACTGTTCCCCCGGTTTCACCGATCAGCACTTATTCCCCGCTGATTAATTCAACACATCCGAAACGAAAGCCGAACATTAAAATCGTATTAGATCTCTGTAAAGGACTTTAATCTGTTGACCCTGGTGATCTCCGTTTCCCGTTGATCTTGGGTTCTAGTTACATTCACATGGCCAGCTACTGTCACTGCTTGTTTAAGCGCCACCCCTCCTTCAGTCAAGTCGTGTTTCTCCACTGACCTATGAGACAGTCTTAAAGGAGCAGGACGGAAATTCACTGAGCGCTTACTCAGTAGGAGCGCGATAAAGAGAGGTGGAAGTGAAAAAGCCCAGACAGGAAAAAAAAACACACACACAAAAGACAAGGCTTACAACCGTAAATATGTTATTTAAAAAAAAAATCAAATAAACTGTAGTAAAAATTTTAAGTTACAGAAACCTTTCATCACATGTTTTTTTTTTTTTTTTTTTTTAACAGAACATTCTTGCTAACACTAGGTGTAGTAAGAGAAATCTGCAGGCACCGTCGCTGTGGACTGGTCAGCTTTATGGTGATGAATGCAAGAATAATTCATGCTATGTGCTCAGTGATCCAGTGCACAGAGCAGGGCAACCCCTCGTTTGACCCAGTACCTCTGACTTAGCTCTGTGGGCAGCTCCAAGGCAGTCACATAATTACTGGAAAGGCCAGTGGTGGACGAACTCCCTATGGGAGAACAAACAGCACATTATCTGCATGATACAGTGTCTTAGATAATTATCTCACAGCCACAAACTTTAGTATACATTTTTTATTTTATAGTATAGAGCACCATAAGGTAACACATAAATGTGGTAAAGTGATATGTTTCCCAATTTCTATTAAAAAAAAAAAAAGAATCTGAAAAGTGTGGCATGTATTTGTGCTACAAAGTATTAGGGCAAGGCTAAGAAAAAAAATCCTGAGAATAAAGTTATAGGTGAATAAAGTTGAAAAAATACAAGTCGTAATAATACGAGAGTAAAGTTGTAGTAATTACCAGAATAAACACACTGTGGTGTGTTCCGCTACTGATAATAAACTCATTGTGATGTGTTAACAGATTATTTCCTCATTTGTAAAACCAAAGTATAACTTTAGTATCTGACGCTCAACATTCTTCATTTTACTGCAGTTATAAGACTGCTCTTTCATGTTGGAGTTTTTTATAATATTCTGACTTTATTCTGGTAATATTTCAACTATATTCTCCTACTATTTCAATGGTTTTCTCATCCAACTTTGTTCTTGTAATTTTATTTATTTATTTTGTCATAACATTTGTGTTGAACCTCCCTAGTTTCACATCCTTTAATAAAATCTAGTGCATTAAATTACCTTTAAAAATGACCTAATTACTAAGGAGCAGTGGTGGGCACACTTTCACTAATAACTAATTTTTCATTTAGCACTAATTTTGAAATAGTTAAATGTGCTTAGCTTCTCCTAAATAACATTTTCAGGATAAACTCTAAAGCATTAATTTTCTTGGCTGTTTTGTAAACTTTTAGTAGGATAAAGTTCAACATCTGTGGGGAAGTTTCGGTTATCGACTGTAAAGAATTCTCCAAGTAGTTTGCTCTTATTTATATTATTTATATATAACCCTGAAATATTAACTTTTAACTTCACAGTTCTGTTTACACTTTTGCACTTTGTGTAATCGTTTTACAAGACCCAAAGTTCAGCATTATTTGTCACACGCACCAAGTACTTGATTTATAAAATGCTATGAAATACTTTTTTGATCTAAGCCTATACAAAATGTTGTAAACGTATAAATATTTAACCTCTGAACAAACTAACGAGACAGTCAGCATGAGACGCGGGCTTCGTGCTGTGGGTGGAAAACGCAGAGATGCACTTTCAGCGGCTTCGTGAAACTCGACACTTAACTGGAGTCTATTTTGGATGAGTAATAAAACCACTTTAAGGAGGTGCACACAAACACTTGAGTAAGACCCTCGGCTACCAGGCACCACATTAAGACAGAGTTTATAACATGGGATTACATATTTTCTTTCATAAATGTCAGAAATTAGCAAATTACCACAACCACTTACATATTTATCTGCTGTGTTTGGGTGGATTTTTTTTTTGTCACTGTATAAGTACTGACCAGCTCGGCTGGGGGTCTTGTAGACGGGACAGAGGTAGATCCAGGAAGTTGCTCGACTGCTGAGGGCTTTGGGGATCAGCCAGATGACGGGCATTTGTGTGTGGAACTCCATGAGGGTGGAATCAGAGAGCCGACCTGACTTTTTATTCCAGCTGGCCCCCTCCAGGAATAGACCGTGGATGTAGCAGCCTGTGTTGGGTATTTCTCTTATCTCTGACAGGGGCTTCACCATCATCTGGAGGAGGAGGCATTGCAAGATATATGAGAAAAAGACTCGTATGTGGAAAAGTACAGGTTCCTTCACATGTGGGAAAGATACAGAGAGATCAGGAAAACAAGACATCAGGAGGGAATAAGAAGGAGTGATACAAGAAAAGAAAGGACACGAAGAAGGAAGCTAGAGGAAAATTTTCAGACAATGAAGAGAATCTAGTGTGCAGACACAAAAACACTCTTTAGGTTGCTTTCACACCAAAAATGCAACAGATGTGGCGAGTTTGGTCCCCAATTGAACCAAGTCCACCGGACTATAAGGTATCCAGACACGGAAAGAACTAAAATCAGATTCCAGATTTTTTCCAACAAAATAATCATGGAAATATGAAAAAAAATAAATAAATTCTTTGAACTAGTATTGCAAATATAGCCTGATGGACCTTAACGTCAAATCCCAGTGTTTCAATAGGAATGCTGAACTGGCGTGCGTGATTCTGCAGGGTTCCGGTGAGAAAGGCTTGTGGGAAAAAGAACCCGCTAATCCAGAACACAGGTGGGTTGCCGTTGGAGATCCATCGCTGGAAGAAACTGATCCTCTGGAGAAGGTCCGACACCCAGGAAGCCAGAGGCTTCATGGAGGGGTAAGCCTGTCGAGAGAGAGCATGGCAGCTAGAAAGCAGAGACTAAAAGCAGGAAATATGGACAAATTTGGACATTCTAAACAGAAAACAAAGTGTTGGCTACAGTATATCTCTGAAACTTTCACATTATCAATACATATCATCTATCAATAAAGTCACATATTCAGGCTTTACAGAGATTGGACAATGTTATGTGAGAATTTAAGTTTTTTCCAGTTCTCTGTGGCTTGCCTTGGCTTTCCATATGTCAGGCACTCTGTTGTTGAACAAGCTGAGGGCCATAACCTCCATGTCTGGAGACATCACAGCCGAACCTTTCAGAGCCTTCAACATGTCACCGAGACTCTGACAAACAACCTCCAACAGCCTGTTGTATCTAAAAGACAACAAATAAGAATGAAAAGCATCTTATGTATTGATCGCACTATACCAACGTTTCTGAACACATCAAAGAAAAAAAAACAAAAAACAAAAACAAACAAAAAACTGAAATGGAGCTGAAATAAACATATACACATTTTTAAGTGCTAAATATCTCTCAGTAGTCTAAAACTGAGTTTCTACTGGTTTCAGTCTGGCTTGTACAGCAAAAACAACCATCACACTTTTCAGATTTTTGTTTGAAAGACATTCAGAAAATCATTCGTCCTTTTTCTTTCACTTCATACATATGCACTACTTTATTTCGGTCTAGCACCCAAAATCAACATTGCAGTTGTAATAACAAGGGGGGAAAAAGCTCATAGATTAAAGCTTATGAATGTTTTTGTCAGACTGATCTCACCTGATGACCTCATGGACCAGCACTGCGTTTATGGCGCTGTCATACAGACCTGGGTACTTCTCAGTCACCGTATGAAGAGAGAAAGGCTGAGGGATTTTTCTAACAGTGCCGATCACAACCTCCTCCACTGTCTGAACTCAAAGAGGACACACAAACTGTCACACGTCTCTCATATTGACTGCAGGTTTGAATGAATAAGAACACACAGATGTTATTAGCACAAATAAAGGCAGAAACGTTATCAGTTGATGCCAGAACCTCATAAAATGTTTTGTCTCTAGTCGGCGTAGTGGGAGCTTGAGGCTGGAGACCAATCAGAGCGTCCAACAGGGCAAAGGTTTCATTCTGGGCAAACCGGATATTGGCGTTCTCATGGAGACCGAAGAGCTCAGGTGTATCATTGACGGGCAGATCTCGGATGTATGCTAAATAGCCCTATAGGGTGAGAGGTACAATGACATTTTACACAGTCTTCATACAAGTTACATTCAAATAACATTTTTTTAGGCGCCAATGACCTTCACACATCCTTACTCGGCACAAACCATCACAACATTGTTTATTCCAAACAGAAAGATACCAACAGTCTCACCTCTTACGTTTCCTCATTTGTGATTTTGGGGATAGAGCAAAGAACACACTTTTTATTGATGTGAATGAATTAGAGTGTCGTACAGCATTTTAAACTTCTGGTTAGACGACTGATATTTAAATAAGAGTGCACCTTTCAGGGAAGCTTAGTCTCGAAGGATTGCTTTTATGCTCCTAATTTAAAACAACACATGATCAGAATTGTGGTTTTAAATTACTGACATGCTGTGTTCGTGTTCAGATGATTGTCCTCGATGTCGCTTATTCCAGACTCGTCTGTTTGCGGCTCCAGACAACCTTCTCAGTTTTGTAAGCCAACTGATTCACTCAAATTTGATTCTGAACGCACACCATCAATCAAATGGCTCTGTGTTTAT